CACCTGGTGCCATCATTACATGTCTTTAGGCGCCAGGCAAAAACATTCCTCTTTCCCCAGGCCTATGGCCGTTAAATCATCTGTGGCCTGTGAAAGTGTGGGGCGGGGGAGTGTCATTAATTATTTTACTATCTGTCCTTCTGTCAGTATGCTTTTTACTATGTCTTTATTACTGATGTTCTGTAATGTGTTTTTAATGTTGTGTACTGCCCTGGGATCTTTTGAGAAAGGGTGGCATAAATTGAATACATGATAATAATTATGATGATTTTCTAGTTAATTTTAAACCAATCAGTATTGATTGATGTTCTTAGGGTTGTTGTTTTTAAATAGCCTTATATGTTGTACTGCACAGCTTATATGAGCACCTTGCTATTTTTTCATTTACAAACAAATAAAATGAAAGGGAGGTCTTTGGGTCTGATCAAGCAAGACTTTTCTGTCTCAAACTGAGGAGGCCTGCTTTAGTCACTTGGCTGTGGTAGCTGAGGAGCCTCTCAGCATGCTTTTCTATTTTTGTCCTGATATATATATATATATATATTCATGTCATCAGTCTCTTAATGTGACTTAAAAATTTAAGCCGCTCTAGGGAAAACGGTTCAAAAAATTGGGAATACCATTTACCCATCCAACAGATTCCGCCTTCTGAAAGGCTAAAGTCAATGACCCGTTTTTCTAAACAACACAAGTCACAGGGGAGCAGGTTTTCGAGCTGGTGGTCCGCTGGGCTGGGCTGGGGAAAGAAGGCAGCTGTCTGCAGCGAAGATGCGAAGGTTGGCAGCCAGCCATATGTATATGGAGATTGTACATCCATGCCACATATTTTGATATTACATGGCTTCCTCCCAAACCTCGAAGTTTGGTGAAGATGTTGAGACTATTCTGCTAGAGATTCATTAGCTTCTTCTTAAAGGAAGAGGGAAAGGGAACCTCAGAATTAGGACCCAAATGTAGCACTTCCTATGTCGGCCTTATCTGGCCCCTGGGAGTCTCCCTAGGTCACCCTCTCTCCCTCGCCACACCCCCTCACCCATCCCAATTTGCACCCTCCTTGGTTTGGCATGTGCCCTTTGCCATTCATCTGTTTGTTCTGCTGCTGCACTGATGGTTCGGCTTTGCATTTTGCCTGAACCCAGACCCACGGTTTAGCTGACTCCAGACAAACCACAAGCTACAACCAAGGTTTGTTCCATAGTTTACCGCTCATGTGGTTTAAAGAGAGCTAAACCACGAGTCTGGGACCAGACCAAATGCTAAACCAAACCATGGCTTAGCCACGCCAACGAGGAGCAAGCCAACAGCCACCTCCTGTTTGGGAGCCCGCAAATTTGCAGCTTGTTCAAATTAAACCATGGTTTGGCTTAGCATTATCTGCAAACAAGGTGGTGCAGCCAGAGCCATAATAATAATAATAATAATAATAATAATAATAATAATAATAATAATAATAATAATAATAATAAATTTATTTATTTATTTATACCCCGCCCATCTGGCTGGGTTTCCCCAGCCACTCTGGGTGGCTTCCAACAGAACACTAAAATACAATAACCTATTAAACATTAAAAGCTTCCCTGAACAGGGCTGCCTTCAGATGTCTTCTGAAATTCAGGTAGTTGTTTATTTCCTTAACATCTGGTGGGAGGGCGTTCCACAGGGCGGGTGCCACTACTGAGAAGGCCCTCTGCCTGGTTCCCTGTAACTTCGCTTCTCGCAATGAGGGGACTGCCAGAAGGCCCTCGGCGCTGGATCTCAGTGTCCGGGCAGAACGATGGGGGTGGAGACGCTCCTTCAGGTATACTGGACCGAGGCTGTTTAGGGCTTTAAAGGTCAGCACCAACACTTTGAATTGTGCTCGGAAACATACTGGAAGCCAGTGTAGGTCTTTCAAGACTGGTGTTATATGGTCTCAGTGGCCGCTGCTCCCAGTCAAAAGTCTAGCTGCCGCATTCTGGATTAGTTGTAGTTTCCGGGTTACCTTCAAAGGTAGCCCCACATAGAGCGCATTGCAGTAGTCCAAGCGAGAGATAACTAGAGCATGCACCACTCTGGTGAGACAGTCTGCAGGCAGGTGGAGCTGATAAACAGCTGCCCTGGACACAGAATTGACCTGTGCCTCCATGGACAGCTGTGAGTCCAAAATGACTCCCAGGCTGCGCACCTGGTCCTTCAGGGGCACAGTTACCCCATTCAGGACCAGGGAGTCCTCCACACCCGCACACCCCCTGTCCCTCCAAAACAGTACTTCTGTCTTGTCAGGATTCAACCTCAATCTGTTAGCCGCCATCCATCCTCCAACCGCCTCCAGACACTCACACAGGACCTTCACCGCCTTCACTGGTTCTGATTTGAAAGAGATGTAGAGCTGGGTATCATCCGCATACTGATGAAACCCAGCCCAAACCCCCTGATGATCTCTCCCAGCGGCTGCATGTAGATGTTGAAAAGCATGGGGGAGAGGACAGAACCCTGAGGCACCCCACAAGTGAGAGCCCAGGGGTCTGAACACTCATCCCCCCCCACCACTTTCTGAACACAGCCCAGGTGCTTTGCATTGGTTACGTTAGAACAGCAGCAGAGGGCTTTGGGCATCCCCGCCATTCCCCTTCTCCGATGTCTGACGTGGTACGAATCTCTTCTGGAATGGGCCTGCACAAGCTGTGCCCCATCAAGCCTTGCACAGCCCCCCAGCTCTGTGCAGTGACCCACTAGTGGCCAAACAAACCTGCCTGTGCTGTTACCCTGGAATGGCAAATGGAGGTTGTCAAAAAGGCAACCAGTCATGGTACTCAGCGGTTGGGCCAAATGGTCAACAGTGGTGCTTGTTTGTTTTGGAAGAATCACAAGTCCTTTTCATTCAGACAAATGTTTTGGGCAGCTTTGCCAACACATCCGCAAAAGGATACTATCCCCAAATAAAAATGTTTTATTAGCCTGCTTACCCACACACATCTGTGTAAAACGTATACATATTGAACCTAAAAGCAGGGGGGGGGCAGGTAGAGAGAACAAATGTCTTCCTTAACGAAAGCTGGATAAACTTGCCTGGTTTCCTGGAGACAAGTCTAACTCCCCACAGGTGATTAGGGAAATTGACTCTTTACAAGCGTCATTTTAGGGGGGGAAAGGGGATTTCAACTTTCATGTTGAAACATTCTAGCCTTTCAGTCCATTACTTTTAATGCTTCCTACTGCTGGACCTTTGGATATAAGGCAAGATAGAAATCTAAACGAATCATTATGCACTTCCCATTCTGGCTCCACAAACGAGTCCAGAGGGTGACATTTATATTTATTGGACCAGTTTTAAGAGACTGACGTGGGGAAGGCACAAGGCAAATGTACTTTTTATCCACAAATGTTGTTGTTTGTCAGCAAGGTCCGCGTGTGGAGATTGTGTCAATGTACAAAACAGTATCTGCTTTACACCAGCACAGGATCAGGCCCAGGATTAGCCGAGTCATTTTTGTAACTGCCATTTTTCAATTGCTGAATTATAATAGCAAAATGTCAAAAGGAAATAAACAAGCAGAAGATGATTCATCCTGATACACAGTAATTAGCATGTTGACAATTATGATCTGCTAATGTGCACTGGATATTGCACAGCGATGCTCCCCCTTTCTTTGTCGAACAATCTGGAGAATCCCTGACACGCTTAAACTTGCTGTTTATACTCCACAAAGCTTTCCCTCGCGCTCTCAAAACATGCACCAAGATATTAAAGAACATTTTAAAAAATTATTTATTTGGAACTTTTGTAACCCACTCTTCCTGCAAAGATCCCAGGGTGGCCTTTAATATGCATTTAATACATATTAAACCAAAATACTAAAACACTAACAATTGTCAGAACAAGGAAGAGTTTTAAAGGATAGCTGTGTGAAGCCATTTTGCTTGGAATCTTTTGCACTTTTTAACTGGTTGGTCAACTGCAACTTGTTCCTTTTATTCTCCCAGCACATCTGGTTGTTCCCTAAGTAGCCCCTTTCTGCAGGGAAAAAGAGCAATTGTGAGTTAAAAAGAGAACATGCTCCCTCCAAGTGCAACGGCTTAGAGCCTTCTATCATTACAGGGAAGGATGTGCGATCCTAGTTTTTTGGCAATTCATTAAGATACTCCAGCCATCTTGGATCAGATACCCACTTTAATCCACCAAAAATTGTGCCCATGGTTATAGCATTACAATTAAACATGACGCAAACGACCGATGTGTTATTTCCCCATGTTTAAGTTTAGTATTTAAGCTTTCTGAAACATGCCCCTAACAAGATTTTCATCCTCAGTTATATTAAAAAAAATGAATCATGCCTCTGAAATAATGTAATAAAGCTACTGAAATGTTTGCACAATGGAGCATAATCATCCCTGATCAACCACATTTTATCTGCAATATTAAGAAACCTATCATTCAACCTTATATTAAATAAGCAACACACACTTTCCGAATCTCTTCGCTTCTATCTGCCATTTCCCCAGGTAGCACAGGAAAGACGATCATATTGAGGAGCAGGAGCCATTTTTTGAAATTCTTGGGCCAATTTGGATCCATCACCTCCCGTTCAAACCTCAGCCTAAAGTAAGGGTGGCTATGCTTTGGCACTCTAGATCAGGGTTTCCCAAACATGGTTCTCCAGCTGTTTTTGGACTGCAACTCCCATCATCCCTAGCTAGCAGGACAAGTGGTCAGGGATGATGGGAACTGTAGTCCAAAAACAGCTGGAGACCCAAGTTTGCGAAACCCTGATCTAGATGTTGTTGCAACTACCATTCCCATCAGTCCCAGCCAGCATGGCCAATGATAAGGGATGATGGGAGGTCTAGTACAACGCCATCTGAAGGCCTGCTTGTTTGTCACTTAAAGCATATCTTATCCATTCAGTTGGACCCCAACTGCCTGAGGAAGCCAATCAGAAAGCTTCAGGGTGCTGAGAAACAACCTGATTGGCTGCCATTTTGAACAGCCTACATTTCAGAAGAGCAAAAGCTGCCACACATTTGCAGATGAACTTTACTTAAGCCAATTGGTGGCCTCACATTCTGACTTTCTTAAAACTCATTTGCTGATCCCACCAACCCTGCTTAAATCATCAGCACCAGAGCTCCCATCAGACTTTGCAGGAGCTTGCGCATGCCGTTGGGATAAACTTTGGCCAAACCCTGTAAATAATGGGTGACCCACAAGCAGCCCTCATTGTTATCCGGTGACAGTTAAGTAGATCAGCGCTTGCTGGAAGCAGGAAGACTGGCGCAAGGGTCAGCGTTTGCGGGAAGAGGATACGTCTGGGAAGTAGGAACAGGCCTCAGTCGGAGTCGCTGCTGCTGGAAGAGGAGGAGGAGTGCTGTAAACAGAAGAAGGGGGAGGCTCATGAGACTTCAATTCTGACTCAGTGTTACTGCTACCGAAATCTAATCAGGGCTTTAATCTATCTAGCTCAGCTCAAGAAAATGTCAATTGGGGATATTAATGCCTCATTATCATCTGAAATTACTGTTTCCTATCCACACAGATTGGTTGAAGGAAAAAGACAGACTCTGAACCACTGTGAAGGGCCGTTTGCCACGGACAAAGACAACTGGAGTTTGCAGCCGATGGTGGGAGAAGCCAGAGTTAACGGGAAGTGGAACTTGCAGCGTTGAATAGAGCTCCTCCCCACCAGTGCCGCTATTTTCTCTCCCTTGCTATGGCTGCTGCCTCCCACCGTCCTCCACCTGTTCTGGGCACCACAGTTCTGGGCACCACAGTTCAAGAAGGACACTGACAAACTGGAACGTGTCCAGAGGAGGGCAACCAAAATGGTCAAAGGCCTGGAAACGATGCCTTATGAGGAACGGCTAAGGGAGCTGGGCATGTTTAGCCTGGAGAAGAGGAGGTTAAGGGGTGATATGATAGCCATGTTCAAATATATAAAAGGATGTCACATAGAGGAGGGAGAAAGGCTGTTTTCTGCTGCTCCAGAGAAGCGGACACGGAGCAATGGATCCAAACTACAAGAAAGAAGATTCCACCTAAACATTAGGAAGAACTTCCTGACAGTAAGAGCTGTTCGACAGTGGAATTTGCTGCCAAGGAGTGTGGTGGAGTCTCCTTCTTTGGAGGTCTTTAAGCAGAGGCTTGACAACCATATGTCAGGAGTGCTCTGATGGTGTTTCCTGCTTGGCAGGGGGTTGGACTCGATGGCCCTTGTGGTCTCTTCCAACTCTATGATTCTATGATTCTACCTTGATCCATTTCACTGACCCATCCCCAAATAACAAGCGGTCCAAAGTGACTACTTGCAAAGGACTTTCCCCACCCTCTTCATCACTCTGTTTGGGATCCATTTCCATTTTGCAGAAGGGTTTCCCCCACCCTTTGGGTTCCATTTTTTTCTTCTCCCATTCTCTCTCTTGGGACTCCTTTCCCCACCAACTAGCACAATTGCTCCTTTCTGAAGACGGCCAATACGCATGTCCACAGTCTGACTGAGGACCAGGCTGTCAGAGGTCAGAGCTCTTCCCTGCAGAAAGGAGTACCTCTCTCCAACCATGCGGTGTACCCTACTCCAGCATCACTCCCCATAATTCTAATCACAAACCCCACAGACCCTGTCTCACGGTTGAAGGCCCAGCAACCATTTACCTCAGACCACCAGGCCTTCTCTCCTCTACCTCCATGGCAGCCTCCCTCAACATAATGCCCCCCAGTAGGGAAGGGCGATACCTGGTTTTCAACATTGTGATATATTGCCAGCTAAACATTGCAATGGGATGTGGGTGGCGCTGTGAGTCAAACCACAGAGCCTAGGACTTGCCGATCAGAAGGTCGGCAGTTCGAATCCCTGTGACAGGGTGAGCTCCCGTTGCTCGGTCCCTGCTCCTGCCAACCTAGCAGTTTGAAAGCATGTCAAAGTGAAAGTAGATAAATAGGTACCGCTCCGGCGGGAAGGTAAACGGCGTTTCCGTGCGCTGCTCTGGTTTGCCAGAAGCGGCTTAGTCATGCTGGCCCCATGACCCGGAAGCTGTACGCCGGCTCCCTCGGCCAATAAAGCGAGATGAGCGCCGCAACCCCAGAGTCGGTCACGACTGGACCTAATGGTCAGGGGTCCCTTTACCTTTTAAACATCGCAATATGCTGATATAAGCACAATGCCTGTAATAAGGATGGAGGCATTGGCTGGCTTCACAGTTTTTCCTGCATTGTGATTTTTGCAAAGCACACACACGCACAATCATGATTTACAATATACAACCAGGTCAAATATTATGAAGCTGATATTACGATATGGAATTCAAACTGGTTTTGGACAATACATTGCCCAGCCCTAACATACATAACGACTCATGTTATATCGCAAGGTCAAAAATTATGAAGCTGATATCACAATATGGACTTCAAACCAGTTTTGGACGAAATATCGCCCAGTCCTAGCCTTCAGATGTTGCTGAATTCCAACTCCCATCAGCCCCATCTAGCATGAACAACGGTCAGGGATGATGTGAGTCCAGCAACATCTGAAGAAGAAGAGTTTGGATTTGATATCCCGCTTTATCACTCCCCTTCAGGAGTCTCAAAGCGGCTAACATTCTCCTTTCCATTCCTCCCCCACAACAAACACTCTGTGAGGTGAGTGGGGCTGAGAGACTTCAGAGAAGTGTGACTAGCCCAAGGTCACCCAGCAGCTGCATGTGGAGGAGCGGGGAAGCGAACCCAGTTCACCAGATTACGAGTCTACCGCTCTTAACCACTACACCACACTGGCTCTCTGAAGAGCACCAGATTGGCTAGCTTCTTGAAGCACAGCAACAAGTAAAGAAAGTCCAAGTTTCCTGTTCTTCCCCAACCCTCCCTTCCACTTTCACACACCTTCCCATGCATCTTGTGGTGCTTGTGTGGCTTGTTCATCTTGTGCGCCTTCTTCATCTTCTTCTTCATCTTCTTCGCTGCCTTCTTATCCATCCCATGGGTCCCCATGGCAACAGCCCCGGGCAGCAAAGGATTCACCCCCATCCCTCCAGGCATACCCGGGGCAGGTGGGGGGTAAGGACCGCCAGGGGGGACAGGGTAACCAGGTTGATGTCCAGCGTACGGGGGCAGGATAGAATGACCTGGTGGGTATGCAGGTTGCCCAGGGATCCCTGCTGGGGGCCCAGGATATGGGCCAACAGGTACTGGACCTGGGGGAAAGGCAGGATTCACAGGAGGGGGGTGGGCAGGGTTGAAGCCCGCTGGATAAGAAGGGTTGGGAGGGTAGGCAGCTCCTGGGTAGGCGCCTGGCTGGCCTAAAACAAAAAAGGGAGAGAGGGAAAATAGGAAATCTTATCAGTTTCAAGGCTAAATGAAACACGCAGCAGTCAACCTGAAGCGTCTTACCATTCCGTCTACGTCATGGGTAGGCAACTCTTGGCAGTATAGCTTTGCTGAATGCAATCTGTTTTGCAAACATCCCCAGAGACAAAAGAATGAGAAAAGAAAACAGCCATGTTCCCTCAGAGAAACTAGACTACACAGGACACTCTTTCCCCCTCAGGAGTGCTACACTAGGCCTTGGCCAGATAAAGAAAGGAAACAAGCTGAGGATTGCTTTGCGAAGCTGAAGATAGCTTTGCAGCGAGTGCAACCCAGGCTGCATTTTATTTTATACAGTGTATGTCATGGGCAGGCAAACAAAGGCCCGGGGGTCGGATCCGGCCCAATCGCCTTCTAAATCCGGCCCACAGACTGGCTGGGAATCAGTGTGCTTTTACATGAGTAGAATGTGTCCTTTTAGTTAAAATGCATCTCTGGGTTATTTGTGGGGCATAGGAAGTTCATATATTTTTTTTCAAAATATAGTCCGGCCCCCACAAGGTCTGAGGGACAGTGGACCGGCCCCCTGCTGAAAATGTTTGCTGACCGCTGGTCTATGTATACTAGGCAACATGAGCAAGACACCATCTCTAAAACATAGGAAACTGTCTTATACCAAGTTAGAGCAGTGATCCATCCAGCTCAGAATTTTCCAAACAAAGGGGTCTTTTCAAGGCCTACTTGGAGCTGCCATCATGGTATTGCCTACAGAGCTTGGCTCCCTAAGAATCTCAGCTTTCATTTGGGTGGGGGTGCAAGCCCTTATGAAGTGTGAAGACATAGCTGAAACTGTGTGGGGCGCATTGGGCTAGCGATTTTGGGTATAATATCCAACTTTCATCTTGGGAAAAGTTGTGGAGAGAAGAAATAAAATTTACAGCATGCTGTGCGTTGAAAGAAAATCACATGAAAATGATGTACCGTTGGTATCTAACACCAAGTAAGATTGCAAATATGTATAAAACTAAATCAAATATGTGTTGGAAATGTAAAGAGAAAGAAGGTACTTTTTTCCATATGTGGTGGTCATGTTGTAAGATAAACAGCTTCTGGGAAAGGATTTATAATGAATTAAAGAAAATGTTTACGAATACATTTGTTAAAAAAACAGAAACCTTTCTTTTAGGTTTAATAGGGGAAGAAGTAGCAAGAGAAGATAAAAGACTTTTTATGTATGCAATGACGGCAGCGAGAATGCTACTGGGAAGAAGAAGCATTACCAACAAAGGAAGAATGGCAAACAAAATTGATGGAATATGCAGAAATGGCAAAACTGATGGGGAAGATCAGAAACCCAGGATCTTCTGTTTGCAAAGCCTGGGCTCTGCCAGTGAGCTATAGATCTCCTACAGTTTCAGCTGCTCCCTTAACTGGGCACATCTACACATGTTCCACTCCCAACCTCAGCAGTTCTTCTTCCTTCCTTCCTAGAGAGCCAGTGTGGTGCAGTGGTCAAGAGCGGTGGACTCGTAATCTGGGGAACCGGGTTCGCGTCTCCGCTCCTCCACATGCAGCTGCTGGGTGACCTTGGGCCAGTCACACTTCTCTGAAGTCTCTCAGCCCCACTCACCTCACAGAGTGTTTGTTGTGAGGGAGGAAGGGAAAGGAGGATGTTAGCCGCTTTGAGACTCCTTAAAGGGAGTGAAAGGCGGGATATCAAATCCAAACTCTTCTTCTTCTTCTTCCTTCCACATTCCTGCATGTTCTCTAGAGGAGCAGCCCCTGCCCTTTTGGCCACACAAGTTTCAACCTCAATCAACCAAGGACCTCCAATATTCAGAAAGCAAGTCTCCACTAACACTAACGGGAGAAGGAAATTCGGATTCAGGAGGTCCAAGGAGGCCTTGTGGATGGCCGTGGAGAAAGCACAGCGTCTTTCAAAAGCAACAACACATCACTAGCGACAGCTAGCAATGTCAAACTGAGCCTTCTGCTGAATCGCGGAGGACAACTCACAGGCAGTGAGGTCAGGCAAAACAAAAGGCTGTCCTTGACTTGAGACAACCTAGTCCTGTTGCGGAAAGCAAGACTGGCCCAAGCCAATTGTGACTGGACTTAAAATGCCTTCTGTTTTTCCACTTGGCAGGACTTCCCACACAGAGAACTTGCAAGATCTTTGCCATCCAGGTGAGTTTTAATGCTGATTAGGTACATCAGCACAATGGCACGAGAGGTGCCTTGGGAGTTACCAAGTCAGCCAACTCTCTTTACTTTTTTTTAAAAAAATAGCGTGCCAGCTATTTAATGCATGGATACAGGCACATGACTCAGTGCGTAAAAAGCACTCAGGGCCCTTCTGGAGGCAGCCAACGCCTATCACAAAATGCCCTCCTGCCCAAGGGTAGCTCACATGCAACGTAATAGTTGCCACCTCTGTGCCCATCTCTATGCATATTCCCTAGAGAGGTACCCCAGATAAACCCATCAATCATTCTTCCCACTTACCTGCATTGGGATTCCACATGGTTCTCAAGGAGAGAATGTGTCACCTGGGTAGGGAAAGATATTGTTAGCATAAACCACGTAAAGTTAAAGGCTATCAATTACTGCATAAACAAGCTCATAAATCAAGTAGGCGGGAAAGATTTCTGCTCATAACAAAGTTCATACCATAAGGTCAAATTGCAAAAAGATAAGCACTACAGGCTACACAGACAGAACTACACAGATTCTACTACAGAGAATTTAATTTAAGACAAGGATTATCCATGGACAATAGTATGCGGTACACAGACTGAAATTCAAGTTTCTGACAACTTGTTTTTTAAAATATAAAGTCCCTAGCCGTCATGAATATGGATCTAGTTATGTATGTTTGAAAGCATGTGAGGGCCCACACTAAATTATTGGAAGGCAAGTGAAAAGTATAACCATGTGTATTTAATTTTTCCCTTCCAACTCATGTTTTTTCTAATTTTATTTTTCCATCTTTAAAATCAGTATGAAATTAGGTTTATCTGCATCTTAAGTAGCTAAATAAGGTTATTTTGGAAATCTAAACCATACATCATCACTGTGTTACTCATACAAGATTCAAGATTCAAAACTAGATAGGTCAATTATATCATTTCACGTTTATAATTTCCAGGCTGTCTTTCCGTCATGCAAATCTCAAGCTTTATCTACATTTTAAATATGAAGTTTTAAAGATAATATTTTAGCTTCCTGTTAATTAAGTTGCTCTGAATGTATACTTTATATTTGACTTTCTTTGGTAATGTTTTATTCCATATTGTTTTATTTGGTGTTTTAAACCTCTCTTGAGGTTTTTTTTTCTTGAAAACAAAGTGGCATAGAAATGGAATTAATAATAAATAATAAATAAGGTTACAGTGGTACCTCGGGTTAAGTACTTAATTCGTTCTGGAGGTCCGTTCTTAACCTGAAACTGTTCTTAACCTGAAGCACCACTTTAGCTAATGGGGCCTCCTGCTGCCGCCGCTCCGCCAGAGCACAATTTCTGTGCTCATCCTGAAGCAAAGTTGTTAACCCGAGGTACTACTTCTGGGTTAGCAGAGTCTGTAACCTGAAGCGTATGTAACCTGAAACGTCTGTAACCCAAGGTACCCCTGTATTTTACAAAACTAAACAGTCTATCATTAGTGTGTTGCTCATGAGATTAAAACATTCAAACGATGTTACAAAGTTACTGTTATTAGTTCTAAGCGCAGCAATATTTCAAAAGATAATGGGGCAGAAGTGTATAACCAACCAAACTTCCTGAGCTAAAGGAAGTTTCCATAAGCGCTAACTGACTTATGATCAACAAGAACCTAACATTTTGATAAAGCCTAGAAAACAGAACAAATTATTATCCCACATCTGCTCCAATAAGGCCAAAATCCCCAGTCTTGATGGGTACGAAGTGTCCAGCCTCTCTCTCATTCTTATACAGTGGTACCTCGGGTTACAGATGCTTCAGGTTACAGACGCTTCAGGTTACAGACTCCGCTAACCCAGAAATAGTACCTCGCGTTAAGAACTTTGCTTCAGGATGAGAACAGAAATCGTGCTCCGGTGGCGCGGCGGCAGCAGGAGGCACCATTAGCTAAAGTGGTGCTTCAGGATAAGAACAGTTTCAGGTTAAGTACTTAACCCGAGGTACCACTGTATAAAAGTATGGTTTAAAGAGCTCCCTTTCATAGGGTTTCTGAACATGCCCCTAAGTGGTGGGCCCTGCACCAAGGGAGAGAGCAAAACCCAACGGGTTTGTTTTGTTTCAGAAAATGAGTCGGCTGTCATCTCCACTGTCCATTAATATCCACTGCTCTTCAACACACCCTCTCCTGAACACCCAAGTCTCACCTTAATGGTTCTTTCCTCTCGCTTATCAATGTCTCTCTTTCTTTCTTCTCTGCCTAACATTAGAGTCCAGTCACACTAAGCAAGAAGGCACCCAACATAATTTGCATAGCCTGTACAGACAAATGGGAACAGCAACCAAATGTTGCAGTGTTGAGTGGTCCTGTTCAGGGTTTCAACCAACCAGCTAGCTATTCCTTTTCCAGGATACTCTATTCCATCCCGCCACCTGTTTTCCAGTTGTCGTCCCCCCAACAACCAATTCAGCAATGCGTTCTATGCCTACTGCGCATGCTCATTCAATGAATTGTTTGTGGGTGTCCACACCCCCATTTATGAGTTCTCTCCCCCTTTAAAATGCTTGTACTTCTGCAGATCTTGGGATTTGCCCACAGATGGTGCCATTTTGGCTACAGCCCAGACTCATCAAGGATGAGTCTGCTATTAGTATATAGAATTTCAGCACTGACTAAAAGCTAAGAGTCTCCGAAGTGGTCCAAGAAGCTCCTGATTCGAGTCTCACCTGCATCACAAACCCACCAGATATCTCAAGCCTTAAGCCTGAGGCAAGTGAATGGAAAACATTCCCACACTACATGCATACAAGTGATATGCCCTTTTGTGTATATGCTCCTAATGAGCATTTTAGGAGGCTTTTAACTCTTATTTTTAAAAGGCCTTCTCGGTGGCGGCACCCACCCTATGGAATGCCCTCCCATCAGATGTCAAGGGGATAAGTAACTACGCAACCTTTAGAAGACACCTGAAGGCAGCCCTGTATAGGGAAGGTTTTAACGTTTCATTATGTTTTGATATATGCTGGAAGCCGCCCAGAGTGGCTGGGGCAACCCAGTCAGATGAGATGAGCGGGGTACAAATAATAATTAATAATAATGTAAGTTTTTGTAAGCCGCTTTGAGCTCACCTCAAATCAACTCACAAATAACAAATAAAACAACAATAAAAGTAAAAGTAGAAATGGGAGACGAAAGATGGGATATTGCTCCAATAGTAAATTCACTGCTGTGCAGCGAATGCTCCAGCAAGAATATCCCTTAAAAGTTGCCTTTCCCTTTAAACTTTTTAGAGCCCATTTATACATCCAGACATAGAAAACCCTTCCACAAATTGCAAAAATTGCAAGAAATCCTACCAGATTGCAAGGATCCCGTCCCACCTACCTACCTTCCTTCACCTTTGCAACCTCACTCCGCCTTCTGCCCTCACTCCCTTCCAAGTTCTGCAGCAGCAGCAGCTACTTCCTGGAAGCCTTCCTGGAGGCTGGGCTCCGTTTCACATGTCCCTCCAGCCCATTGGCTCTCGGCCGCCACCGCCAACTTCCCATAGGAGAAGCTGCGTGTCCATCAGAAGCTGCGGCTCAAGCAGGCGGGAGAGGCGGCGCCTTCCACCAATGACTGTTCGGGCGCGGGCTGCAGATAGGGAAGGAAGGAAGGGACCAGCCTTGATCTGGGATTATTCCAGACCCTCCAATTGTCCCTATTTTCCAGGGACTTCCCTGATTTAGAGCTATTTTTGATTTGATCCCGGAATGTCCCACTTTTCCTTAGGATATCCCTATTTTTATTGGAGAAATGTTGGAGGGTATGGTAGGATGTCCCTGTTTTCATTGGAGAAATGTTGGAGGGTGTGTTATTCCACTTATTATTTCGGCCTGCAAACTTAAAAGAATCTTTCATTCAAACTGAGACTCTTGTTTCTTTCCATATTTGTAATGATTTTGGCATGGAGAATACACTTGGTCAATATATTCGCATGCGTTCATCAGAACGTTTTTTAATTTTTATGTAATGGTTGCAGTCAAAGATAGCTCTCAATGCAACTAGGCTAAACGGTTTAAGGATGAAAACATTCTGTTATACGGAGTAGAAGTGTACATATTTACTGGGTTAAAAATGCTGCAGCTTTGAAACTTGAAAAAGGCAGCAATGGTTGTCTCGGGGCACCTCTCTTGACTGTCTCCCACCAGCCCCAGGGATTCAGGCACTTTTGGTTTGCTCAATTAAATTGGATTAATTTATTATTTATTGAATTATATACTGCCCTATACCCGGAGGTCTCATGGCAGTTCACAGAGCAAAATGAGCAATGATTTGCCTTAACACAACTAATCCATTAAAAAGGGGATCAGAGTTGTTTGCGGTTTGAAAAGTGATGGGAGGAATGCACTGTGGGATGAATAATGGTGGGGAAATATATTAAATTCCCTAGAAGTAAATTAGGCTTATTACCTTAAAACTGCCCATCAATAAAGGCTGGATATAGCGTATCCAACTCTATACATTATACATACACAATAAAACCATGCAAAAAAATTAAATCACAGATTATCAGCTAACTATTACAGTGGTACCTCGGGTTACATACACTTCAGGTTACATACGCTTCAGGTTACAGACTCCGCTAACCCAGAAATACAGTGGTACCTCGGGTTAAGTACTTAATTCGTTCTGGAGGTCCGTTCTTAACCTGAAACTGTTCTTAACCTGAAGCACCACTTAAGCTAATGGGGCCTCCTGCTGGCGCTGCACCACCGGAGCACGATTTCTGTTCTGATCCTGAAGCAAACTTCTTAACCTAAGGTACTATTTCTGGGTTAGCGGAGTCTGTAACCAGAAGCGTATGTAACCCGAGGTACCACTGTAGTACCTCGGGTTAAGAACTTTGCTTCAGGATGAGAACAGAAATCGTGCTCTGGCGGCAGCAGGCGGCCCCATTAGCTAAAGTACTGCTTCAGGTTAAGAACAGTCTCAGGTTAAGAACGGTTCTCCAGAACGAATTAAGTACATAACCAGAGGTACCACTGTACAGATGTTTTCTTAATTGCAATCATAAGCCTGGCAGCATAGACAAATCTTTGAAGGTTAAAATGCAATATGCCTGCTGAAACTTTATTGGGAGAAGCATTCCATAGTCCTGGGCAAATGACGCTAAAGACTTGGTTTTCTGCTGATGTGAAATGAGCTGCACCAACTTGTGGGATGGCCAATGATGCTCCAGATGGTTTCAGCAATTGAGCTAGGATATAAGGGCTCAGGCAGTCCCTAAGGTACCCCGGACCTAAGTTGTTCAGGGGTTTGTAAATTAATACAAGACACCCAATTGCAGGGATGCAGTTGAGCCACTTTGCATCTGGCTCAAAGCCCAGCCACTATTTTGCATGTGGGTGATGGGTGGATCTCTATGAAAAGAACAGGGACAAAACTGGTTTTGCAGTCCTGAAGTCTATCCAACTCTCTCATGTTGCTTTCAGGATGGGCAGCTGTACACACCAATATTTGTTTCTTTCTTTCTTTGTTTAAAAGATTAATAAGCTACCTTTTAGAGTAGCTACAGTAGAAGGTAGCTTCTAAAATATAACCTCACAAAACCAAACAAATAACAGGAAGCAGATAACAAAAAGCATTCTACTAATTAGCCAGAAAAATAAATAAAACCAGTCATAATAATACTATTAATTTTTTTTTTATTCCAAGTTAAAACGTTACAGAACCACAGTAGCTTTTGCTAAAAAGCCACCTGAAATATATTATTTAATGTAGTGGTTCTCAAAGGGTGTGGCAGGAAAGGATTGCAAGTGTGGTGGGAATACTCAAGGACAAAGAAACATTTAAATATTTCAGTTTAGTCTAGTCTAGTATAGTATTGTGGGACGTGGGTGGCGCTGTGGGCTAAACCACAGAGCCTAGGACTTGCTGATCAGAAGGTCGGCGGTTCGAATCCCCGTGACAGGGTGAGCTCCCGTTACTCGGTCCCTGCTCCTGCCCACCTAGCAGTTCAAAAGCACGTCAAAGTTCAAGTAGATAAATAGGTACCACTCTGGCGGGAAGGTAAACGGCATTTCCGTGTGTTGCTCTGGTTCGCCAGAAGCGGCTTAGTCCTGCTGGCCACATGACTTGGAAGCTGTACGCTGGATCCCTCGGCCAGTAAAGCGAGATGAGTGCCGCAACCCCAGAGTCGGCCACGACTGGACCTAATGGTCAGGGGTCCCTTTACTTTTACCTTTATTATAGTATTAAAAAAAATTCTTTTCAGAATATGGATAGATATCATTTCAAAATGAGGGCAAGAGCAGCACACTTAGCTCAGTCAACACAGTATGAGACTCTTCATCTCAGGGTTGTGGGTTCAAGTTGGGCAAAAGATTCCTGCACTGCAGAGGGTAGACTAGATGAGCCTCGTGGCCCTTCCGATTCTACAATTCTATGATTCTAAGTGGTATCGACACTGACATTAAATGAGGAGGAGGAAATGGCCTGCGTAAGTGGGAAGCACCCTCTAAATGCCCACTCTTCTGCTCTCTCTTCACTACATACGAAAAAATACTGTAACCAAAAATATCCACAACTAGAATTGAAGCTCTGGAGCCAGCAGGAGGTTGGAATATGCATCGCTGCTGCACTACCCCACACACCAGCTGTTAGGTGGGGAAGCACAGCAGCCTAAACCAGGCTTCCTCAACCTCGGCCCTCCAGATGTTTTGAGACTACAATTCCCATCATCCCTGACCACTGGTCCTACTAGCTAGGGATCATGGGAGTTGTAGGCCAAAAACATCTGGAGGGCCGAGATTGAGGAAGCCTGGCCTAAACAAAACTCCACTGTACCTCTGGTCTTTTGGAGGTTTCCTCTGCCCTCACTGATGTCCTCTTCAGGCTCCTAGAAGGGTCTTCTCATGAACCATGAGAACTCCCCAACTCTTTCTTGTCGTTTCCTGGTTTGAATTTAATTAATTCCCAGCACCAAGCGTATACACAGTCGCACACCAGTTGATCACATGTAAGTTGGGGGGGGGGAGAGACGCCTGTAATAATAATGCAAAGGTGGCTCCCATGTTAGGACTCAAAAGTGGGTCCCAAGTCTGAAAAGTGTAACAGGGTGCTGCAGGAAAGGTAACTCCAGGACAATCTTCCCCTTCCTCTATTTGTAATGACATGACATCATCACACTGTCCCAATTCCTTGTGGCCCACTAGGGCTGGGCGATATATCGATATATCGTCTAAAACCAGTTTGAAGTCCATTTGTGGTATCAGTTTCATAATTTTTGACCTGGCAATACACCACAAATCATGGTTGGTTGGTTGGTTGGTTGGGTTGGGTGTGTGTGTGTGTGTGTGCGCGCGCGCTATGCAAAAATGACAATGTGGGGAAAACCATAAAGCCAGCCAATGCTTCCCTTGATTCCTGCAGCCCCCATTAGCTCTGCTGACTTAGCTCTCCCCTGCTTCCTGCAGGGGCCAGTGAATCACAAGAGCAGGTGCTGGCAAAAATCACAATGCAGGGAAAAACATGAAGCCACCAATGCCTCTTCTTGTTGTTTAGTCGTTTAGTTGTGTCCGACTCTTCGTGACCCCCATGAACCAGAGCACGCCAGGCACTCCTGTCTTCCACTGCCTCCCGCATTTTGGTCAAACTCATGCTGGTAGCTTCAAGAACACTGTCCAACCATCTCGTCCTCTGTCGTCCCCTTCTCCTTGTGCCCTCCATCTTTCCCAACATCAGGGTCTTTTCCAGGGAGTCTTCTCTTCTCATGAGGTGGCCAAAGTATTGGAGCCTCAGCTTCAGGATCTGTCCTTCCAGTGAGCACTCAGGGCTGATTTCCTTCAGAATGGATGGGTTTGATCTTCTTGCAGTCCATGGGACTCTCAAGAGTCTCCTCCAGCACCATAACTCAAAAGCATCAATTCTTCGGCGATCAGCCTTCTTTATGGTCCAGCTCTCACTTCCATACATCACTACTGGGAAAACCATAGCTTTAACTATACAGGCCTTTGTCGGCAAGGTGATGTCTCTGCTTTTTAAAAAAATTTAAAATATATTTTTTATTGGAATAATTCAACATCGATACCCTTATACATACATATTATGGATATACAAACAGACATACATTTCATACAATCCTTAAGAATATTCACACATACCCATATACAATCCTGCACATACTTCATTTTCCCACCACCGCCCCTGACCCCTCACCCCACCCTGTGCTTGACTTCCAATCTACTCAGTTGCAATTTCTTTCCATTTCAATTACTTTCTTTCACACACTATTAAACCAACTTTCTACTTCTTTTTCTGTTACACATTGTTATCTATATTATTTGATATTTCAGTATCTATAGAGGAACTTGTTTATTCTAATAGGAGTTCTGGTTTTTCCAATATGATTTTGCAAATATTCTTTGAACACAAGATGTCTCTGCTTTTTAAGATGCTGTCTAGGTTTGCCATCGCTTTTCTCCCAAGAAGCAATGCCTCTACATAGCTCCATCTTTATTTCAGACATTGTGATATATTGGTTTAAAAGGTAATGGGACCCCTGACCATTAGGTCCAGTCGTGACCGACTCTGGGGTTGCGGCGCTCATCTCACTTTATTGGCTGAGGAGCCGGCATGCAACTTCCGGGTCATGTGGCCAGCATGACTAAGCTGCTTCTGGCGAACCAGAGCAGCGCATAGAAACGCCGTTTACCTTCCCGCCGGAACGGTACCTATTTATCTACTTGCACTTTGATGTGCTTTCAAACTGCTGGTGGGCAGGAGCAGGGACCATGCAACAGGAGCTCACTCCATCATGGGGATTCGAACTGCCATCCTTCTGATCGGCAAGTCCTAGGCTCTGTGGTTTAGCCCACACTGCCACCCACATCCCGATATATTGGTTTACCTGGTGATATATCACAATCTTGAGAACCAGATATCGCCCAGCCCTACTCTACATCATCAGCTGCAGAACCAGGCTGGGGGAAAAGAAATGGGTGACATAATGATGCCAAGTTGCATGTTTCCATAAGTTCACAGTGCGGAGTGAGGAGGGAGAACATGACACAGGGCTGCCATTTTTAGTAGCAACCTTATGTTCGTTCGTCATTGCGTCTAGTTATGCCCTTAGAATATGCCCTCTACATCACTCTCGATCAACTTCCCGAACATTTAAAAAAATGTCCATATACAACCTTTAAATAGTGTTTGCCAAACATCGTCCCAAATAGCAACCATTGGGGGGGGGGGAAATCACTGTATGGAAAAGGCTCTAAGTCAAGTTTCGTTTAAAAAGTGACTAATCAACCTTCCCAGCTATAAATAAGACGCCAGGCTGCAGTGTGCAGAGCCCAGCCTGTGTGTGCAAGTGAGCACCTGTGCCAAGGACACAGGCCATGCACTTCTGACAGATTCTGGCATGCAGCCAAGCAGCTTGGTGCATAATGTAGGGAAAAGCCACCCTTTCTCTTCTGATGAGGCTGCAGGAATGCAATTCCGCTTGACAGCTGAATGTCAAAAGGAGAACATCGCTGAGCAGCAGAGGCCTCTGCTCTCTTTATTTCGAGCACTTGAAGGAGATCACAAACAGATCCTTTATTTGGTTCCATTTGTACCCCCACCCTCCCACCAAGGACACATTTTTATTTGCACAACAACCCTGAGAGTCAGATTTATTGCAGATATTAATATTGCACACTTTGATGCATGAAAACGGACTCATTTTTTGGAAATAAAACATTGTCAAGGCCCATAAGTTTAATTAAAGCTTTACTTGGAGAACATTCTTCATAACATAACAGAAACATCCAAATAATTCCATAAGACATATGCCAGTCCAAGGCATAAACTCAGCATCTTCTTACAAAATATGAAATAATTCCAACAGACCTAGAAGCAGAGGTCTGTCTCTCCCCACAGCCTGCACCTTGACTTACCTAGGTTGTTTACCTGGAGAACTTCATTTTCACCCACACTCTCACAGAGTCTGGGAACCAAGAACTCCTTCCAAGATGGCAAATTTGCAATTTACGGTAATACCTTTCATGTGATCTAAGGTTAAAACACCACGTCATAGCTACCTGAGAACAATAATAGTTAAGTATCACCCCATCAATGAGTTCAGAGAGTCCTTTTTGCTCTTAATTCAGCTGCAATGGAATCTTCCAGTTAAACTCTTTCACCGATATACATAGCCATTCCCATTTCAGTGTGAATTAAACCAATGATACTTACCAAGATTACGTTGACCTTCCCAAAGCTACTCCGGTGTGGTTCTTGAATGAGTGAGGATTTGAACCCAATTATTTCCTTTGCAAGTTTAAAACTCAATCCAGCACACCAGCTTTTACCCTGCCTTGTGTATGGAAACAGGCAAAATAGGTCCACTTCCATTAGAGTCCATCTTGAAAGCAACTGAATTTCCATGTAACAGGGCTGTCTTTGGGAAAATGTTTATTATCTTTGCCCCACTTACTATGTTTATTGCAATTACTGTATGGAATAGTATTATACAAGTGCCGCAGCCACTTATTGGCTAGTGCCTGTAACATCAACATGACAAGTTAGCACATGCCCACAGCATTTTACGTACTTTCTTAAAAGTGCATTGTCATTGTGAATGTAGTACAGTGGCCATGAGACTGAGCTATTAACCAGATCCAGGCTCACCTCTATCACGAACCCATGAGCAGGCATTAGTCTCTCTGTCACAATCTGTATTATGGGGATAATAGCACCGACCAACCTATGGTACAACGCAAGGAAAGCGTTGTAATTTTATTACTTAATTTCATTCCGGGAACATAAGCTACTATCTGGCCATAATATATATATATATACTTAAATAAATAAGATGATGCATGTGAAGGACTTTGCATATTTAATATTTTATTGATTTTGTTTTAAAAAGTGCAAACATTACAAAAAGAGAGAGAAAACAAAGAATAAAAAATGTAAACCGTAAAACGTCACAGCCAGGAGGGACAAAAGCACAAAGATACAGCTCAGCTCCAGAGGGATAATAATAAAGTACTGACTCATAGAACGATTCCCTTTACAAGATATATAAAAATAAAAGTATTCTCCACCTGGGAGTTCCATCATTATTAAGAATAAAGGTTCCACAAAGTCTCAGATGAGCCGGGCATTTTGCATATACCAGTGATACTGGGGTACAAGATGCCTCAATATTTGTATAAGAAATAAAATCATGCCGTATAGCAAAAAATGGTCATTCAAGCTCTGCCCTTTGGACACGTTTAGATTATGAGATACCTGTTCAAAGAGGGCAATTTGCCAAACCTTTGAGTACCAGCAATATGTGAAGGACTTTGAAGTCCTGGCAGCAGTTATCTGGAGTCTCAGGCCAAATGCCTTGTATAAACTTATTTTGTGTGTGGCAAATGTGCATATATTTGTTTTATTGCTGCTGGACAAAGAGTGGTAAGAAGCTCCACTGAGCACTGAAGCCCACTCATCAGCCCTCCCTTAACTAGCCATTGCACATATACTTTTAAGCCTATTTTTACTGCATGAAAGGATAAAAAGGTAACGGGACCCCTGACCATTAGGTCCAGTTGTGACTGACTGTGGGGTTGCGGCACTCATCTCGCTTTATTGGCCGAGGGAGCCAGAGTACAGCTTCCGGGTCATGTGGCCAACATGACTAAGCCGCTTCTGGCGAACCAGAGCAGCGCACAGAAACGCCGTTTACCTTCCCGCCGGAGTGCTACCTATTTATCTACTTGCACTTTGACGTGCTCTCGAACTGCTAGGCGGGCAGGAGCAGGGACCGAGCAACGGGAGCTCACCCCGTCGCAGGGATTCAAATCGCCAACCTTCTGATCAGCAAGTCCTAGGCTCTGTGGTTTAACCCACAGCGCCACCCGCGGATAGGGACTTGTATTTTGCTTGACAGAAAAACAGACATTCTTAGGATAATGAATTCTGTGCCCAGTACCAATTTCTTCATTTTGGGCATCTTACACGGCAGTCCTATGTAGATCTACTAAGAAATTAAGTCCCAGTGATCCGCATTCCTAGGAAAATATGCCTAGGATCCCAGCCCAAATCATAGTATATAAATGGCTTTTGCAGTGCTGCAGGAAGTGATGTAGGCATGGGAAGATTCAAGTGATTGAGAGCCCAAGAACAGCTGGATGAAACGAGAGGAAGGTGCAGGTTGGGACCCACTGTTAAACAAGTGCAATTCATGTTGACTAAGTGGACAGAGCTCATTGAGTTGATTAAGTGGACAAGGTTTATAAAAACAAAGGAAATGAAACACATCTAGTCCACTCTGATGAGGTCCAAAATCATGGTGAGAAGCCATGCTTGGTGGGACTTTCCTTCATGGCCGCTTATTCTTGACAAAAGGCAAAAGAACTATTTTAAGCAAGGGCTGATGTCTAGGTAAACAGACTGTGAAGCATAATGTGTTTCAGCCTCGTCACAACTCTTTCACGAGGCCCTCAGCATACAGCTTCTGCAGCCTCTGATGGGCACATTCAGCTTGCAAGCGAGCCTCTGGTTCAGGATCCCAGCAGTCCTCGAGGAGCTCCTGTAGACAGGCAGCAGCCTAGGGAGAAACACAGAGAAGCGGCAAGTGGGTGTCAGGAGACACAGAGAACTGGAAGAATCACTAGAGTGGGAAGGCATTGCAGGGGCAGATGTTTGGAACTGCATGTGCTCCAGAAGGTGAAATGTTGCCTTTAAACAGGCCTGCAAAAAAACAACAACCCATTTGTCTGCAAGTGAGATGGGCCTCTTCACATCCCCATAGCTGTCAACTTTCCCCTTTTCTTGCAAGGAATCGTATTCGGAATAAGGGAATTTCCCTTTAAAAAAGGGAAATGTTGACAACTCTGCATCCCCCCCACTGGCTTTCTTCCTCCTCTCACCTCCAGCTCAACAGTCCTTGCTTCTGCCTTCAAGGTTTTCCTCAGGCTTGCCACACCCTCTTCCCATTCTTATCTCCTTACATATCCCCGCCTTAGACCTTCGCTCCCAGATCTCTGCCATCTTCAGCTTCCGAAAGGTCTCTGGCTGTCTTAAAATGAATGCTCTTATTCTCTTTTTGCTGACCTCAAGCTGACTCCAAGGTTTTGTGTTGGACCCCCTGCCAGGCAAAAGGCTGGAACAGGAGATCGCTGAAATGTCTGGGAAAATCTGGACATATGGCAACCGATGTCAGAAGTCTAGATGTCTAGGCTTTGGCGGATTTCGAGTTTTGCTCAACAACTTTGTGTCCAGATTTTCACTTTTTGAAATATGACAACCCTACTTTAATGGCTAGCAAGCAGGACATCTAAGTAACACAGTGGCTCCCATTTTATATATTTAAAAAGACTAGCAGCCATTTTGTCATCCCCTTTGCAGTACGACTGACATACTTCCGTGTGGGCAGACTATGTTTTCATTTCAATCATCTGCTAATATTGGTAGGCTGATTCGCAAAGTTGCTATAAACTGTGAGAGAGTCTTTCTGCCTCCGTATTAAAAACACTTCCCTCCCTCCTCTCCCACCCGCAGTTTGAGTTTTCATTATCATTCCTTAACCAAGAATGACTCTGCAGCACTGGGGCAAGATTTGTTGCCCTAGAACGGCAGAGCTCTTTGAATCCACTTTAATTGTGCAAACCCAAAGTTCTGCTTCGCAACTGAATCACTCCCACAAAATACTGACGTTCTGGAGGCGCCCCAAGATTTCAAAACCCTTAGCAGATTCTCAAGCAGGACCCTTTGGGAGAGTGTTGTAAACAAAAATTGCCCTTTTCCCTTATGGGGTATCCAAGAGCCCATATAGAGTCCTTACATAGGTTCCCTATTGGTAGGAGAGAATAACAGAGGCCAACCAGAGAATATTGAGAAGCAAAGCAGCTAGTAAGCTTGATCTTTATTGATCTGTTGCAACAGGGTGCTCCCCTCACCCGCAGGAGAGAGGAGGAACCCAGAAAAATGGTGTGCAAGGCCTTATAAAGACTTTTGAAATTGCCACCCTGTAGATCAAGACCACCCCCAGAAACATCATACATACATCACAGAAGGGGTGTAACCTAAGACCACCCCTCAGATACATCATACCTACATCACAAAAAGGCGGTCTTAAAACAGAAATTTGAATGTTGTTTTTCTCCTGTCATTGTTTATCTCCTGTCTGGCAGGTTACTTGATTGGATTGCCTGGGGAGCCTGGCCAGTCTTTTATAATGATAAATACTTAGTTCCTGGGCCAGGTCACAGGCTCACACCCTATTCATATCTTAAATGTGCCCTTAAGACAGGATTTGTGGGCAAAGAGACAATGGGGAGGTTTCCCACTTTGACCTTGCAGAGAAAACATTTGCTCAGTTTAGGAATCAAAATGGTTCCAGGTTGGTCTTCCTGTGCTGATCTATGTATGTGCTTGGTTGGTACACTTATGAACATTTAACATATATCTAAGACCTCAAAATTCCTATCACAAGAGCAAAGACCTTTCTTCACCTTACCTGCCCAATTCTCCTCCAAGCAGCTGGAATGGCCGGCCGACCCCTTTCCACCACAGCCAGACTCCTCAGTTGACTATATGTAGGGTTGCTGCCCAGCTCTGCTTCATAGGCCAGCTGGAACTCAGGGACCCTGTTTTCTGGAGAGAGGCAGAAGCCGGTGAGGTTGAAGACGGGGGATTTCCATCTTGTCAGCACAACAGGCTCACTGCACTACCAGCAGCCCACAATCTAGGACCTGTTCCTACTTCAGAGTCCCCGTTCAGAGACTGCTAAATATTATTTCCTTATGGCAGCTGTAACGTCTGAAACGGCTTTCAGTGAGCTCAGCCTAGTTGTGTGAGGGCGAGTGAGTGTCCATGCCAGCATCTCTCAGCCCTGCTGTGAGTTAGGTCAAATCACAGAGGTTATCCAGTGTTATAGTTGCTGTGTTGAGTGCCACCAAGTGGAAAGGATTTTTTTTTTTTAAGCTTTCATGCAGGAGCTCCATAAAGTGCCTGTAGTCTAGTTTTTGAGGCGTAATCACTCTACTAACCCAAACAGCAGTGGTAGGTACAGGGCCGGATTTAGGTTTGGTGAGGCCCTAAAGCTACTGAAAGTAATGGGGCCATTTATATGTCCAGCTGTCCTTCGTCAACAACAAATTGTGTTGAATATATGCTATATGGTAATTTATGGACCTAATAGGTATCTAAAGCTATTTGCACACAAAAAATAATATGTATTTTATCAAAGTAATTGTTGAACTGAAATACAATTGGATATGTGCATCCAGTTTTTTTCCTTAATTTTTTTTGGGGGGGCCCCAAGAGAGTGGGGCCCTAAGCTATAGCTTGTTTAGCTTTTACGTAAATCCGGCACTGGGTAGGTAGAGCCAAAAAACAGACATCTTCCCTCACGGAAGCACTTCAGCTTGGAGGATACGGCATGTTCCCAGCATTCAAGCTCCAACATATTTACTGGGGGGGGGGGAGTACTTCTTTGCCCAACTAGTGGAGCGGTTGTGTATTGCGGTTCCTGTCTTGAATATCCTTGGTGAGTGTCATGAACAAACATTGGATGGTACCTTTGATAGTTGTGGCCTGAAGCAGGGTGGTGTTGCTTACTGCTGGTAACCAAGAGGCAAGGAATCCAGTGTGGTGTGGACACAGCAGCAGACCCAACTAGGTACTCCTGCCACTGCACTCACACCACACAGACACCCCAACCGCCACTGCTTTGGGCCCTGATCCCTCTTAGCTACTGGCAGCAACCTGAACATGGGGAAGCTTGATGAGCACCACCATAAGGTAAAGGTAAAGGTACCCCTGCCCCTACGGGCCAGTCTTGACAGACTCTAGGGTTGTGCGCTCATCTCACTCTAGAGGCCGGGAGCCAGCGCTGTCCGCAGACACTTCCGGGTCACGTGGCCAGCGTGACAAAGCTGCTCTGGCGAGCCAGTGCAGCACACACGGAAACGCCGTTTACCTTCCCGCTAGTAAGTGGTCCCTATTTATCTACTTGCACCCAGGGGTGCTTTCGAACTGCTAGGTTGGCAGGCGCTGGGACCGAGCAACGGGAGCGCACCCCGCCGCGGGGATTCGAACCGCCGACCATGCGATCGGCAAGTCCTAGGCACTGAGGTTTTACCCACAGCGCCACCCGCATCCCGAGCACCACCATACGACTGGCCTTTGACATCACTAATGGCATCCCTGCCCCTCCTGGGTACACACTCTGGGCCAGCTCCAGTTTTGAGAGGACAAAGTGATCTCTTGGGATCCCTCTGCTTTGCCAGTGAGCAGGCCCAATGGCAGGCTTACCTGGTGATGATGGGCAGCAGCTCATCAATGAGAACCAGGTAGTGTGGAGATGCCGTTTAAATCTGCTACAATGCCCTTCCCATAGCAATCATTCTGGGTCATTGTAGGAAATTTAAGAGACCTGCAGATATAGGGCAGTACAGAAATTTAATAAATAATCAATAAATTTAAATGGTGGCTCCACACTGCCTGGTGCTCCCTGTGTGGGATGGGTTTTCATGGGCAGGATATATTAATTGCAACTTATCCCTTCAGGCACCTATGTTTGTGGGTTGAATAGTTTCAAAATCCCATCCTTGGCAGCAAAATTAAAAGCACAGGAATTGATTTGAGCACATGAAGCTAAGAAAGTAATCTGGTTTCCTTCCCCCTTCTCACCCTGCTTAACAAAGAATCAGGCAAAAACTTGTAAAGTAAGTTTAAAATAGAGATTTACTTACTATATGCATCGGTTCACAGCAATGGCAGCAGTAAAACCTATGCAGGCAAAATACTTATGTTTACAGTATAACCAGCGTCAGGCATGTGCCAGGAGATGGAGCAAGCACAAGACATGGCTGCCCTAATGGCTGGTCAAAAGGAAGTGAGAGAGGAACAGGAAGCACTATATGCTCCTTCCTTTCCAGGAGAGAAGGGGAAATGACATCACACAGAGCCCTCTCTACCAATTGTATTTCTATAGCCTGAGTCTATATATTATAGTCTGCCTATCAGCAATACAGCTCTGTAGAACTAACTCCTCCTCATGCTAACTAGCAAGAATATAAACAAAAAAAATTCCTTCCAGTAGCACCTTAAAGACCAACTAAGTTAGTTCTTGGTATGAGCTTTCGTGTGCATGCACACTTCTTCAGATACCAAACCAATCTGAAATATGGCAACCCTATACAGTGGTACCTCTGGATACGAACGGGATCCGTTCTTCAGGTATCTGAAGAAGTGTGCATGCACACTAAAGCTCATACCAAGAACTAACTTAGTTGGTCTTTAAGGTGCTACTGGAAGGAATTTTTTTTGTTTTGACTATGGCAGACCAACACGGCTACCTATCTGTAACTAGCAAGAATATGCATTTCTTAGGTTTGGCTGCTTCCACACCTTAAGCACTGTAAAACTGAGGCTCAGGGCAGGCTTTAGCGGTGGGGCCCCAGGGCCCCGGGCCCTAGCAACAGGCCGGGGACTCCAGGTGCCAACCATGTTGTGACTCAGCAAAGCCATGACTCACAAGGACAACTCTCAAGGTAAAGTGAGAAGGCTCTTGTCAGGAGCAATATAAATGTCTGAAGAATAGAGAGAGGGAGAGGATCAAGGAAACTGAGAATGGGAGATAGCGTGAATACCAAGATACAGTCATACCTCGGGTTGAAGTTGCTTCAGGTTGAGTGCTTTTGGGTTGTGCTCCGCGGCGACCCGGAAGTAACGGAATGCGTTACTTCTGGGTTTCGCCGCTCGTGCATGCGCAGACGGTCAAAGTGACGTCACGTGCATGCGCGGAAGCGGCGAATCGTGACCCGCGCATGCGCAGATGTGGGTAGCGTTTACTTCAGGATGTGAACGGGGCTCTGGAACGGATCCCGTTCGTATCCAGAGGTACCACTGTATAGGGTTGCCATATTTCAAAAAGTAATAATCTGGACACAGCTATTTTTAAGGAAATTCACCAACTTCTGACATGGTGATTTCCGATTTCCACCTGGACACTGTTTCCGGCTATGTCCAGGAAATTCTAGGCATATGGCAACCCTCCCAAGATACCCTCACGCCAGGAGCTCAATCCCGTCCCAAAAGCTGAGTGCGTGAGCAGAAAACGCTTGTTTTTCATCAACAGCATGCCATGCCCTGGAACTGTCACCAGGTGGTAGCACAATCCACACCATCACCCTCACTTCAGAAGCCATCCTGTTTCCCTGCATCTGGCAGTGGGACCTTGAGGTGGCAGTTGAGGCCACTGTCACAAGGCGGGAGCATCTGCAAACCAGGTGGCAGTATGCCTCAGGGAGCAGAACCCCCTCCTAACAGTGCCAGCGGATCAAATAGCTATAGATCAGGAATGAGGAATCTGTGGCCCTCCGAGTGTTGCTGGAGTCTATCATTCGTGCCCATTGGGTCTGCTGGCTGGGGCTGATGGGAGATGGAGCCCAACAGCATCCGGAGGCAGGGCCGGGTCTACCTGGAGGCAGAGTGCGGCAGCTGCCTCAGGTGACAAATTTTGAGGGGTGGAAAGTCTCTAGAAAGGGGCATCATTGTGGTCTGCCCTGCAGCCCCTAAGCTAGCTTGCTGCCCTGGCATGGCCAGTGCACCAATGAAGCAACCCTCCTCAGGCAGCATACTCCTCTCACCCCACCAGGGCGTGGGCCCAGATCTTGGGGGCAGGGGACCAAAAGGTCTCAGGCCGGCCCTGTCTGGAGAGCACACAGGCTTGTCACTGACGCTGCTGGCGGCCAGTGTGCAAGAGAGCCAGACCACTCTGCAGCCATGGGCAAGGGCTTTAGGAGTTAAAAGAACACTTGTTCCATGAGAGCTTTTTAAACTCCCCAAGGTAGAGCAGGTGGGGAGGGAGCCAGAAGCTGCCAAAACTGCAATGCTCTGTGTTCAGCCTCACCATTTGTTGGCTTGTTGCATTTGTGAAAAGCTACAAACATTTTTTGTGGGACGACAGAGGCTGCTTCCAGATGACCTGTTCATTGGGCCTTCACCCAGACTTGTTTGCAGGGAGATTAGACAACAGTCAGCTATTGGATTTAATTGCAGTGAGGTTAGACGATGTGTTATCCTCCTTATTGTAAAATGTCTAGTGTTTTGGTGGCTCTGTTGTGACATACCCTCCTCCCCAGCTCTAACTGCACAACCCAAATTTGCGGTATGTGACCGAATCCCACCCCAAAATAGAGACAGCCTGGAAGCGCCCAGAAATAGGAATAATGTTGATAAAAAGATGCATGGGGTGATGAAAAAAGGTAAAGGACCCCTGGACAGTTAAGTCCAGTCAAAGGTGACTATGGGGTTGCAAGGCTTTCAGGCTGAGGGAGCCAGTGTTTGTCCCCAGACAGCTTTCCAGGTCATGTGGCCAGCATGACTAAACCGCTTCTGGCGCAACGGGACACTGTGACGGAAACCAGAGCACACGGAAATGCCGTTTACCTTCCCACCGCAGTGGTACCTATTTATGTCCTTGCACTGGTGTGCTTTCGAACTGCTAGGTTAGCAGGCGCTGGGACAGAGCAACGGGAGCTCACCCTGACATGCAAATTCAAACCGCCGACCTTCTGCTTGGCAAGCCCAAGAGGCTCAGTGGTTTAGACCACAGCGCCACCCGTGTCCTGTAATGGGGTGATGACCTTTGGGGCTGTGGATGAGCAGTGCTAGGCTGCCTCTCTCATCCTCTCTCTCGTTTGCTCACCTGGGAAGAGTGCAGAGCATCTCATCAGGCTTTCCCACAGCACCAGTGCCATGGAGTAGACGTCAGCCTGCCTCAGCGCCGAGCCCAAGTCTTGCAGGTTCAAGCTCTCATCCAGAATTTCAGGAGCCATGTAGCGTGGAGCCCCTGCCTAGGGAGAATGTGGGTGAATTATGACACCAGCTGCTTAATGCAAGCTTTGGATAGGAAATGGTTATGCTCAGAGTTGGCACATCCTGCCCTTGTACACCCTGGGCCAAAGCTAAATGGAAGGAATTGAGGGGATGCTCATCAAATTTGCAGGTGACACCTAACTGGGAGGGGTAGTTAATGCTGCAGAAGACAGAATTAGAATTCAAAATGACCTTAACAGATGGGAGAACTGGGCGCAAGCTAACAAAATGAATTTCAATAGGGACAAATGTAAGGTTCTGCACATGGGCAGGAAGAACCAGACGCACAAATATAGGGTGGGGGATACCTGGCTTGCTAGCAGTACATGTGAAAAGCATCTAGGGGGTTTGGCGGACCACAAGCTGAACATGAGTCAACAGTGTGATGCAGCAGCAAAAAAGGCTAATGCTATTCTAGGCTGCATCAACAGAAGGATTGTGCCCAGATCAAGGGAAGCAATAGTACCGCTCTATTCTGCCTTAGTCAGACCACACTAGAAATACTGTGTCCAATTCTGGGCACCGCAGTTTAAGAAGGATGCTGACAAGCTGGAACGTGTGCAGAGGAGGGCAACCAAGATGATACAGGCATCATGTTTTAGAGTTCTGTCTTCCAGCTGGAGAGAGACTTGACTTCAAACCCCTGCTGAAATGAATCACATGGTGATGATGGGCCTGTTCTGCTCTCTCAGCCTAAACTACCTCACAGGGTTGTTGTTGCTGTTATCACTACAATTTATTACCTGACCTTCACCCTAAAGTCCCAGGGCAGGTTGCATCAATTAAAATACAACAGGAGAGAAAACTGGGGCAACCCTGAGTGGCTTGGAGGAAAGGTGGGGTGTAAATGTGAGAAAGAAATACATTATGTGAACTGAATAAAGGAAGCAGACTTTGCATATTTTGAGCAATTTCCTTAGCCAGAGCAGCAGGCAGTAAGTTTTGCAAAGCACTGAGGACTCCCTTGCCCTACGCAGCCCAGTTCCAAGGCAGCTTATAGAATCAATATTTATGTCACGTGGCACATAGCTGTGTCCTCTATCGCTTTGCTGCTGCTTTGTCCCCGCAACATCTCCCTCTGTCTAATGGTTGAGCAGCCCTGCAATTGCCGCCCCCACAATCTTCTTGTGCCCCGATATTGCCAAGGTGCTTGATGCTACCCCTCTCCAAACTGCTTCTCGTTCCGTTCAACCCCTTAGCGATGCAGGTACCTTGCGGACAATGCCTTCCGTGGGGCCCTCTCTCCACGCCTCGTGGCGCGCAGGTAAAGTCATGGCGAGGCCGAAATCCGTGATGACGCAGGTCCTGTCCTCCCGCACCAGCACATTCTGGCTGCTCAGGTCTCGGTGTGCCACCCCAGGTTTATGCAGGCCTGGTACCAAGACAAAGGGTGTTAGCGGTGGCATGGCTGACCCAAAGCTCAGGCTTCACCCACCATGAATTTATCAAGACAATGAGCAGCGGGGAGAAAGCAGAGAGAGGAAGAAACAGAGCACAGGGTTGCATGGGAAAAGGTTTGACCCCCAAGCATTCCCACTTAAAAGATTTCAGGTAGACGGGCGACTTTCCCAGGTTGATGAGTCCCATCCGACTGTTATAAGAATCTTAAGGTCTCAAACACAGAATATTCATAAATGCACACATATCTAAATATATGAACCATGTTTCTGAAATAGCATGGGAGAGCAATCCTGAAGCCATTTTGACTCTCCCAATGACCTCAAATATTCCTCTGCAGTAAGGGAGGCAAATGGGGAAAGCCTACCCATTGTCTTTTTGTTTGCAAAGCCTGTTTTAAGGGTGTATTTGCGTATGAATAAGGTGAGCCTGTGACCTGGATTCAGGAGCTAAAGTATTAACCATCACAAAAGAATGGCCAGTCAGCCCAGGCAATGCAATCAGTGACCGTTATCAGGTATCTTGGCAAGCAGGATTTCTGCTGTAGACCGCCTCCTGTGCTGTATTTCTGCTGTAGACCGCCTCCTTCTGTGATGTATGTATGATATTTAGGGGTGGTGGTCCTGGGCTACAGGGTGGGCAATTTCAAAAGTCTATATATGGGCTTGCGCACCATTGTTCAGGGTTCTCCTCCCTCCTGCGTGTGGTGAGTGGGGACCCTGTTGCAACAGTTCCTTTAATAAAGATCAGGCTTACTAGCTGCTTTGCTTCTCAGTACAGTGGTACCTCAGGTTAAGAACTTAATTCGTTTTGGAGGTCCATTCTTAACCTGAAACTGTTCTTAACCTGAGGTACCACTTTAGCTAATGGGGCCTCCTGCCGCTGCACGATTTCTGTTCTCATCCTGAAGCAAAGTTCTTAACCCGAGGTACTATTTCTGGGTTAGCGGAGTCTGTAACCTGAAACATCTGTAACCTGAAGCGTCTGTAACCAGAGGTACCACTGTATATTCTGGCTGGCCTCTGTTATTTTCTCCTACCAATAGGGAACCCACTTAAGAACTCTATACCGGCTCCAGAATACCCCATAAGGGAAAAGGAGCTGTTTTTCTTACAACGCGACTCTCATTTTCCTCTGCAGCTCGTGCAGAAAGTGTCTTCTTGTCCATTGGGCCCACTATTGGTTTCGCCAGCTCCTTCCACTGGAAACTGTCTTTGCATGTAGGGGAAGTCCCTAACTTACCATTTAAGACGCATCAGCTGCCCTCACCTGGTTTAGCCAGCTAGTCACAGCTGTTCCCACGGGGTGGCTGCTGTCACTCACAGCTTCTTGGAGCCACAGATTAGAGCAATGAGAACACTGGTGGACAAACTACCCAGAAGGAGGACAACATGTTCCCCACCAGAGGTACCGCCCCTTCCCATACATCTAAGGAACAATAAAACACATGATGGATGATGATGATGATGATGATGAGCACCCCTGGGCCCACTGCCTCTTACCTTCCTTCCACAGCTCCTTGTGTAAGAAAGCAAGGCCCTTGGCAAGGGAGGACCCTAGCTTGAGAGTGACGTCCCAGGAACAAACATGTTGCATGAGGAAATGCCGTAGGGACCCCTGTGAAGAAAGCACCATGCAACTCAATGCACATAAACTAGAGCAGTCCGACAACTGCAAATGTGTGAGAATTGCAGAACTGAGAAGACTGCTGACTGTGAGAATAAGGCTTTAGCTGGGGACTACTGTACTCCTTTAGAGGGATGCAGGTGGCGCTGTGGTCTAAACCACAGAGCCTAGGGCTTGCTGATCGGAAGGTTGGTGGTTCAAATCCCCGAGACAGGGTGAGCTCCCTGCCAACATAGCAGTTTGAAAACACATCAAAGTGCAAGTAGATAAATAGGTACCGCTCCGGCGGGAAGGTAAACGGCGTTTCCGTGCGCTGCTCTGGTTTGCCAGAAGCAGCTTAGTCATGCTGGCCACAGGATCCGGAAGCTGTACGCCGGCTCCCTTGGCCAATAAAGCGAGATGAGCGCCGCAACCCCAGAGTCGTTCCAACTTATAGAACAAGAAGGTAACCACATAAAATGCACCGTGCTGTGCTTGTAATCAGGCAAATAATGTTTGTGCATTATTTTATGCAGGCAAATATTTGCTGCAGACACCCATGTATAAATTGCCACTTGTGTGTACCATTGCCTGGGCACAACCTGAATCACATCACTAGTATGGCACTCACCAGAGGGTAGAGCGTCAGCACCAGGAGGCCCCCCTGTTCCTTGTGTGGTCCTCCACACCCGGCAGCCACAAGCTGCACAACGTTGTCATGGCTCATCAGCGGGAGGCTGTGCACAGCCCACTCGGATGCAAATTGCCGGTAGCACAGCGCAGGGAAGGCTTTGATGGCCACAGGCTGCTGGCGGAATGTTCCTTGCCACAGCTTGGAGAACTGCCCCTCATGAAGAACCTGTGGGGCAAAAAGAATTTGGGTGAAAGAGCCTTCCCCAACCCGGCGCCCTTCAGATGCTTTGGAGTACAATTCCCACCACCCCCATCTGGCATGAGCAATAGTAAGAACCGACCTGGCCCATCATCGGAGGCCCTTCGTTGTGTGCCTCCTCCATGAGAGGTCCATAGGGCAGCAACAAGAGAACGGGCCTTTTCTGTGGTGGCTCCCTGGTTGTGGAATGCTCTCCCCAGGGAGGTTCACTCGGTACCTTAGATATTTTTAGGTGCCAGGCAAAAATATTCCTCTTTTCCCAGGCCTTTGCCTAATTAATTAATTTTAAACTCGTGTGTGTGTGTGTGTTATTGTTTTAGTTTGTTACTGTGCTATTTATTTTTCTGTTTTTATATTGTAAACCACCCTGGGATCCTTGGATAAAGGGCAGTATAAAAATGTTTAATAATAATAATAATAATAATGCAAAACATCTGGAGAGGACCAGTTTGGGGAAGTCTTCGGCAAATTTTAGCATCCACTTCTTAACTCTAAGCACAGCCCTGTATGTTGTTGTTGTTGTTTAGTCGTTTAGTCGTGTCCGACTCTTCGTGACCCCATGGACCAGAGCACGCCAGGCACTCCTGTCTTCCACTGCCTCCCGCAGTTTGGTCAAACTCATGTTAGTAGCTTCGAGAACACTGTCCAACCATCTCGCCCTCTGTCGTCCCCTTCTCCTTGTGACCTCCATCTTTCCCAACATCAGGGTCTTTTCCAGGGAGTCTTCTCTTCTCATGAGGTGGCCAAAGTATTGGAGCCTCAGCTTCAGGATCTGTCCTTCCAGTGAGCACTCAGGGCTGATTTCCTTCAGAATGGATGCGTTTGATCTTATTGCAGTCCATGGGACTCTCAAGAGTCTCCTCCAGCACCATAATTCAAAAGCATCCATTCTTCGGCGATCAGCCTTCTATATGGTCCAGCTCTCACTTCCATACATCACTACTGGGAAAACCATAGCTTTAACTATACGGACCTTTGTCGAGAAGGTGATGGCTCTGCTTTGCCCTGTATAGCAGATCCCATTATTCTTGAAATGCACAATTTAAGTTCAAAAAGCTGTTAATCTGGAAGACATTTTGAAACTGAGCATACCTTGCTTTCTACCCCATGTGATCGTCATCTCACAAACCGTGCAAGCTTCTAGTCTTTGTGGTTAGAGTGGGGAAAGACAGAAGGGCAGCGACCCTCAAGGCATAAATACAAGCTTAACAGCAAAGGCAACCCCTCTCCCCCACTTCCTAGAGAATAATTCTGGGAACTGTAGTTTTTTGCTGGTATTCAGAATTCTGAGTTTAGCCATTCACAGAATGCCTCCACACAGATGAGCCTTAAACTGGATTTTGCTCCAATTAGTTTGCAGCACGACTGTTCACAGTGGTTGGACTATATCAGGGGTCTGCAACCTTTAAGACAAAAAGAGCCACTTGGACCCGTTTTCGAAGGAAAAAAACCTGGGAGCCACAAAACCATTGCGACATTTAAAACAAATATATCTCCGGAGCCGCGATCTGACAGCGGGCGGGAAGGTGACGTCGGGACGGTGCGTGACTAACGCACGCACCGCCCCCATACAGCCAGTACAGCGCCCAACACAGTGGGGAGTGTCGGGGCGCACAATGCGCCTCCTCCCCTTGCTAGTATCCGCCCCGGAGCTGCGGCAAAGGTGTAAAAGAGCCACATGCGGCTCCGGAGCCGCGGGTTGCAGACCCCTGGACTATATAATCGGTCTAAAAATGGCTTTCTTCTGCTTTCTATACCAGATGAACAACTCTCATACACGGCACAAATAGCACACTAGTCATCAAAGGGTGCTTTCTTTCCTTCCGGGTGTCTGTTGGGACAGCACTGCCATCACAAGGCAAGCCTTCTCTTTTGCAATCATGACAAAGAAATACAACAGCAGCGGTGGGGGTGTATGGAGCTATTCTTATGCCATTGATGCGTCAACATTAGATAGTTGAATGTCAAACAGGAAGTCAAGGAGAGCCATTATGAGTAATGCAAATGGACAATCCGTCTGGCCCATGTCAGCTTTACATTTGTATTACACTACAAAGCAATTAAGAAAGAGCCCTTTAACTAAGGCTGCCATATGTCCAGAATCTCCCAGACATAGCCAGGATCCGTCCATCAATAATGGTGTCCGGGTGGAATTTCTGAAAAGCCACCAATGTGTCTGGGGACACTTGGGCGTATGGCAGCCCATACTGGAAGTGTGGATTTCTGAAAAAAATAGTTATAAAGCTTCAAAAATAAATAAATAATAATAATGGAGATCTTTCTCTTCCTTCCTTCCTTCCTTCCTTCCTTCCTTCCTTCCTTTCTTTCAATATCTTTATTGAAAGTACAAAAAGTACATAATTATATGTGCGCTAAACATGGTGAGACGTAAATAAGAGAGAGAAAAAACAAAAGAGAAACAGAAGGAAAAATGAACGGGGGAGGAGGGAACCCAAAACTATATATTTTACAAGGTTGTTATTGTACTTCACCTGATCTTAACCTATTACAGTATTTGTAAGAATGGATTCCAAATGTCACTGAATTTGCCCATGGCAAGCCTGCATTTATATGCAAGTGGTTCGTATGTTGCAAGTTTGTATAAGCCTTCAATCCAATCGTAGAAGGGAACCGCGTTTTTATTTTTCCAATTCATCGGTATGAGATCCAGCGCCGAGGGCCTTCTGGTGGTTCCCTCATTGCGAGAAGTGAGGTTACAGGGAACCAGACAGAGGGCCTTCTCGGTAGTGGCACCCACCCTGTGGAACATCCTCCTTTCAGATGTGAAGGAAATAAGCAGCTATCCTATCTTTAAAAGACATCTGAAGGCAGCCCTGTTTAGTGAAGTTTTTAATATTTAATGCTGTATTGTTTTTAACACTTGATTGGGAGCCGCCCAGAGTGGCTGGGGAAACTCAGCCAGATGGGCAGGGTATAAATTATAAATAATTACATTATTATTATTATTATTATTATTATTATTATTATTATTATTATTATTATTATTTTGGTCTTTTCGCTGTGGTAAGGGCATGGAGATTGTCCGGATTTTCAGTTTTTGAAAACCGGCAACCCTACTTTAACGTCACTTGAAGCAGTTAGGATTGTAAGAAGAAGGCAAAAACGACACAGGTGCGTGTGAGAGATACAGCAAGGTCAGAGGTGGGACTTGACATCTTTCCGCAGGGCCTGCAAGACAGAGCTGTTCCACCAGGCCTTTGGCCAGGGCACAGCCTGACTCCCTCCCTCGGCAATCTTCGCGGAGCTCTGGCCCAATGGTTGCCAGTGGCTTGAATTAATTAATTTTATAATGAATGATTTTAGAGTGTTGTTTATGCTGTACTTTTGTACTGTTTTATTGTTGTTAGCCGCCCTGAGCCCGGCTTCGGCTGGGGAGGGCGGGATATAAATAAAAATTATTATTAGGGCCTGCCCACCTATGAAGCAAAGTGAGGCAACTGCCTCAGGCGGCAAGATCCACATGAACAGCAGATCCAGCCTCCAAGAAATGCACTGTCTGCGCTGCCATGGTGCCAGCAACAGCTGCAATGCACTCCTTGGAGGCTGGATCTGCCGTCTCCTCAGTAGTGCTCCATCCTCTTGGAAAAGAGCAGATGCTATTGGTCTGCTCCCACCCTGTTCCTCGTGTTTATTTATTTATTTTTATATAAAATATTTTATTGCAAGTTTATAACAAAAGAAAATCACCAAACATATGAAACACCATCACCAATAAGTAACGAACAAATAAGACATAAGTAAGCAAAAACATAGAACATAAAATATAACAAAACAAAAAAAAAAGTCACAACCATTCATACATTGTTTTTTCATAACTATCTAGACTTCCTCACATCTCCTTTTCCTGCGTTCTCCATAAAAAAATTATAAGCCGCAATTTATTACCTTATTTCAGTTCTTATATTCTATTTACCATATATTAAGCCTCTAATTTTAATTGTTTTCATCAAATACTTAACTGCTTAATTTAGACATAATATTACTTCGAATTTCATCTTTATCATTCCACTTATTCTCATATATTTCTCATCTAGGCTACTGATGCCATGTTATTTCCTTTCGTGCACTTTCTTAACATTCATACAATTTATAATATTTTATAATGAATGATTTTAGAGTGTTGTTTATGCTGTACTTTTGTACTGTTTTATTGTTGTTAGCCGCCCTGAGCCCGGCTTCGGCTGGGGAGGGCGGGATATAAATAAAATTTATTATTATTATTATTATTAAAAGAGAACCAGGGCCTGCCCACCTATGAAGCAAAGTGAGGCAACTGCCTCAGGCGGCAAGATCCACATGAACAGCAGATCCAGCCTCCAAGAAATGCACTGTCTGCGCTGCCATGCTGCCAGCAACAGCTGCAATGCACTCCTTGGAGGCTGGATCTGCTGTCTCCTCAGTAGTGCTCCATCCTCTTGGAAAAGAGCAGATGCTATTGGTCTGCTCCCACCCTGTTCCTCGTGTTTATATTTATTGTCACTGACGTAGATCTTCCCTCATCCCTTCTTCCCCTGTGGGGAGGAGCGCCATTTTGTGTTTCGCCTCAGGTGCCCAAATGCTGCCCCCGAAACCAGGTTGGCGTTTCCCACGGATAAAGCAAGCAAACTAGGGCGACTTTCAATGGGCCCATGGTCCCCCACAACTGATACCTGAAGGAACTGGAGATCTGGAAGCTCCTGTGTGGGAAGTTTCCTCTCGGTTTTTGGCTCGGAGCTCGTAGTGACCTTGGTGAGCTCACCGCTTTCTTCTGGGCTCAGGAGCACAGCAAGGACTTTCCACTGCCTTAGAACTACAAGGAAAGAAAAATATATTTGCTCCTGCAGCAAGACACGCGTCCCAAAATTATCAAAGTCCTGCACAAATTACGCAGGTGTTCTTATGTTTGCCTAATTTGTATTGCTGGTCATGGGGAGGGCCAAAGGCAATGAAGAGCCATGATCCCTGGCCACTAGAAATCCTGCTCAGCCTTTCCTCACCCAAACTTGAAATTTCAGTGAGGTATGTAGTGGTTTCGGGACGCAGGTGGCGCTGTGGTTAAACCACAGAGCCTAGGACTTGCCAATCAGAAGGTCAGCAGTTCGAATCCCCGCGACGGAGTGAGCTCCCGTTGTTTGCTCCCTGCTCCTGCCAACCTAGCAGTTTGAAAGCACATCAAAGTGCAAGCAGATAAATAGGTACCGCTCTGGTGGGAAGGTAAACGGCATTTCCGTGCGCTGCTCTGGTTCGCCAGAAGTGGCTTAGTCATGCTGGCCACAAGACCCAGAAACTGTACGCCGGCTCCCTCGGCCAATAAAGCGAGATGAGCGCCGCAACCCCAGAGTCAGCCACGACTGGACCTAATGGTCAGGGGTCCCTTTACCTTTTATGTAGTGGTTAAAGTGTCAGACTAGGACCTGGGAGAAGCCAAGGTTCAAATCTTCACTTGACCATGAAGCTCACTGGGTGACTTTGGGCCGGTCACTGCCTTTCAGCATAACCTACCTCACATGGTGTGTTATGTACTAAGCTTAGATCCAAGAACAATAGGCAAGTAGGATCCTAGAATGCAACAACTGATTGGCTGCAGGAAAAGACCAATCAGGCTCCAGGAGGAAGTTAATCAGCCTATTAGGCTGGTAGGATCGTAGAATGCAACAACTGATTGGCCTGCAGGAAAAGACCAATCAGGCCCCAGGAGGGAAGCAGAATCAGCCAATCAGACGGGACTCATTGTGTAAATGCAACAACTGCACCAATCAGAAGCTGCGCCTTGGTTTTCGAACATTTTGGAAGTCAAATGGAATTCTGCAACGGATTAAGTTTGGCGCTTTTGTTTTTGCTATTTATTTTGCGTTTTTGATGCTTTTTCGGTTAATTTGTTTTTGTGACTGTATGGAACCCAGTTCAGCTACTGATTGATTGTGAAACTGCAGAAATGGATAAAAAGCCCCCCTCCCCCATCCAAACAATGACTATCATCAGTGCAGGTAATAAAAAAGTTTTATTTTAATTTTTATCATATACAATACTGTCTTATTTATTTTATAGTACAGTACTTTGATTATTGCTTTCATTTGATGGCTCAATGGTCTCACTAGATGGTAAAATTCATGTTAAATTGCTGTTTTAGGGGTTGTTTTTAAAAGCCTGGAACGGATTAATCCGTTTTGTATTATTTTCTATGGGAAAGCGCGCTTTGGTTTTGGAACGCTTTGGTTTTGGAATGGATGGACTTCCGGAATGGATTAAGTTTGAGAACCAAGGTACCACTGTATTCAGAAGCATTGTGCTGCCTCCCATAGACTTCGCTTCCATGCGTTTGCCTAATTCTCTTTTAAAGCGATCCAAGTTGGGAGTCATCACTGCCTCTCCTGTGGGTGGGAGTTCCATAGTTAAGCCATGTGTTGTGTGATAGGAATTTTGAGGTCTTAGATATATGTTTAAATGTTCATAAGTGTACCAACCAAGCACGTACATAGATCAGCACAGGAAGACCAACCTGGAACCATTTTGATTCCTAAACTGAGCAAATGTTTTCTCTGCAAGGTCAAAGTGGGAAACCTCCCCATTGTCTCTTTCCTCACAAATCCTGTCTTAAGGGCACATTTAAGATATGAATAGGGTGTGAGCCTGTGACCTGGCCCAGGAACTAAGTATTTATCATTAGAAAAGACTGGCCAGGCTCCCCAGGCAATCCAATCAAGTAACCTGCCAGACAGGAGATAAACAATGACAGGAGAAAAACAACATTCAAATTTCTGTTTTAAGGCCGCCTTTTCTGTGATGTAGGTATGATGTATCTGAGGGGTGGTCTTAGGTTACACCCCTTCTGTGACATATCTATGATGTTTCTGAGGGTGGTCTTGATCTACAGGGTGGCAATTTCAAAAGTCTTTATAAGGCCTTGCACACCATTTTTCTGGGTCCCTCCTCCTCTCTCCTGCGGGTGAGGGGAGCACCCTGTTGCAACAGATCAATAAAGATCAAGCTTACTAGCTGCTTTGTTGTTGTTTAGTCGTTTAGTCGTGTCCGACTCTTCGTGACCCCATGGACCAGAGCACGTCAGGCACCTCTGTCCTCCACTACCTCCCGCAGTTTGGTCAAACTCATGCTGGTAACCTCGAAAACACTATCCAACCATCTCGTCCTCTGTCGCCCCCTTCTCCTTGTGCCCTCCATCTTTCCCAGCATCAGTGTCTTCTCCAGGGAGTCTTCTCTTCTCATGAGGTGGCCAAAGTACTGGAGCCTCAGCTTCACGATCTGTCCTTCCAGTGAGCACTCAGGGCTGATTTCCTTAAGAATGGATGCGTTTGATCTTCTTGCAGTCCATGGGACTCTCAAGAGTCTTCTCCAGCACCATAATTCAAAAGCATCAATTCTTCGGCGATCAGCCTTCTTTATGGTCCAGCTTTCACTTCCATACATCACTACTGGGAAAACCATGGCTTTAGCTATACGGACCTTTGTTGGCAAGGTGACGTCTCTACTAGCTGTAACCAACTGAGCTATCCAAGCTGCTTTGCTTCTCAATATTCTCTGGTTGGCCTCTGTTATTCTCTCCTACCAATAGGGAACCTATGTAAGGACTCTATATGGGCTCTTACCCAGTCCATATCACTAGCCCAATCTGCATCGCTACCCAGGAGACAGCAAAACAGAAGTCACTGTTTACATGCTTGGAGAGAGCTGGCAGGAGGAAGTGCAAGGCCAGTGGGTTTTGGGGGGGTCTTCATCAGAGCCCCTGCTAAGTTTTGGGCATCGGCTGGTGCCCAGCAATGCTGACTCCTGGCGCCCATTCTGTGCGTTTGGGTTTTCTATGCAAGGCAACCAGAGAGCCTGCTGTCGCCGTTCTCTGAGCAGCCTGCGGATGTGCTCCCTTCTTCCCTCGCCTCTAGCTGAATGCTGCTGTGTAGCAACCCTTATTGCAAATGATATACAATGAATTGAAGAAAATGTTCCATTTAACATTTGTTAAAAACCCCGAGGCATTTTTGTTGGGGATCGTAGGGAAAGACCTGCCAAAAAAGTGGAAAAACATCTTCATGTATGCGACAACGGCCGCGAGAGTTCTGGTAGCACAAGGATGGAAGACTGAAGAAACCCCAACTCAAGAATCATGGCAAGAAAAATTGATAGACTATGCAGAACTGGCAAAATTGACATACAGTGGTGCCTCGCAAGACGAAATTAATTCGTTCCGCGAGTTTTGTCGTCTTGCGATTTTTTTCGTCTTGCGAAGCACGGTGTCGGAAAAGTTTTGGGAAAGCTTCAAAAATCACCAAAGTCTTCAAAAACCTCAAAAAAGGCTACCACACCGCGTGCTATGAATTGCTCCTCGAAGTCAAGTCGCAACTGTATTAACGGTGTTAAGAAAAAGGAAACAAACTTGCAAGACGTTTCCGTCTTGCGAAGCAAGCCCATAGGGAAAATCGTCTTGCGAAGCAGCTCAAAAAACCCTTTCGTCTAGCGAGTTTTTTGTCTTGCGAGGCATTCGTCTTGTGAGGTACCACTGTATAAGCTACAGGACAAGGATAACTGTGACTTTAAGGATGAATGGGAACCTTTCACAAAGTATCTGAATACGCAACAAAGCGAACTGGACTCCTTGGCAGGTTTTGAATAAACATTCACAATTCTTTTACTGATAATAATCAGCTAAACAGTTTGAGGATCTATACAACTTAGTAACATGCAGAAAATAGCATTATTGGAGAAACCAAAGACTGGAACTGAGGGAAGTCGGGGTGGGGGGTTCTGTGGGGGGGAGGGGGGAAGGAGGAAAAATGGGGGGGAAATAAGGATATGTTTTTGGATAATACGTTTTGTTATAACTTTGAATTAAAAAAAATAAAAAAGCAAATGCCTTGCCCCCATGCCCACCCCCAAAGTCACAATACCTAGAAACGCCAGACAGCCCAGGAAGAGCAGAAGAATGCAGGAGGTAATGATCCAGATGTTCCCACTGGGCAGTGACGCAGCTGCAGAGATAAGAGGGGAAGGTGATCACAAACATCTCCACTGCGGTGGGAGAATCGGTTCAGCGCGTTCCACATTTCGGAGGAGGAGGAAGAAGGAGAACAATCTCTTGCAAACCCCTTTCCCAGGGTGTGCACTCCCAAGCCTCTTGGCTCCAAGCCTTGGGCTTCAATCCCACCAGCCACTCCTCCCTCCCTCCAGGTGCTTTCGGGCCTCTGGCATGTCCTTCTCCAAGACCTCTCTGCCCAACCCTGGCATCAGCTTCCCTCCATCTCCACAGCACTTTCCTCTGATGTTTTAATTAAAATTAAAATTGGGTGGGGGGAGGGGGAGGACATCTCCCACTCCATAGGCAGCCCCCTTCTCATCTCGACAGCCAACATTCCTGCATCCTCCCCGTTGCCTTCCCATGTTTGAAGGCCTTGCTGTGCTCTGCAGTGCTCTGGCGGGGGGCAGCGGGGAGAACCAGGAAAGGCAGTCGCTGCAACACAGAACTTTGTGCAAACTTGTGCAAAAGAAGCAACGGTGCAAGACCCTTACACATACTGCCTGGGGCTGGTGGGAGTTGCGCATGGCCCCAGATAGCTGGAAGGGACCTGCTAGCAAAGGCTGCAATCGATTGTAAAGCTTCTTGAGGGCAGGGGCCTGCCTTTTCCTCACGCTGTTCTGCAAAGAGTAGAACATACACCAGGGGTCAGCAAACTTTTTCAGCAGGGGGCCGGTCCACTGTCCCTCAGAGCTTGTGAGGGGCCGGACTATACAGTGGTACCTCAGGTTACATACGCTTCAGGTTACAGACTCCGCTAAGCCAGAAATAGTGCTTCAGGTTAAGAACTTTGCTTCAGGATGAGAACAGAAATCGTGCTCTGGCGGCGCGGCGGCAGCGGGAGGCCCCATTAGCTAAAGTGGTGCTTCAGGTTAAGAACAGTTTCAGGTTAAGAACGGACCTCCGGAATGAATTAAGTACGGTACTTAACCTGAGGTACCACTGTATTTTGGAGAGAGAAAAATGAACGAATTCCTGTGCCCCACAAATAACCCAGAGATGCATTTTAAATAAAAGGACACATTCTACTCATGTAAAAGCACACTGATTCCCAGCCAGTCTGTGGGCCGGATTTAGAAGGCGATTGGGCCGGTTCCGACCCCCGGGCCTTAGTTTGCCTGCCCATGACATACACTGTATAAAATAAAATGCAGCCTGGATTGCACTCGCTGCAAAGCTATCTTCAGTTTCGCAAAGCAATCCTCAGCTTGTTTCCTTTCTTTATCTGGCCAAGGCCTAGTGTAGCACTCCTGAGGGGGAAAGAGTGTCCTGTGTAGTCTAGTTTCTCTGAGGGAACATGGCTGTTTTCTTTTCTCATTCTTTTGTCTCTGGGGATGTTTGCAAAACAGATTGCTTTCAGCAAAGCTATACTGCCAAGAGGAGAGAGCCGGGTTCAGTTCCTCCCTCAGCCCTGACACTCAGAGGATGGTTTGGGTCAAATGCTGTATCTCAGCCTAAGCCAGGGGTGAGCAAAATGGCAGTCTGCTGCTGACATATTTCAGGGTGATTCATAGTCAGTGCTGTTTTTCTATTAAAAAAATGTTTAGGGGTACTCTCATTTTGACTCAAGAAAATCACCACTTTATAGTTCAAATTGGGGGACATAAATACAGTGGTACCTCAACTTACATACACTTCAGGTTACATACACTTCAGGTTACAAACTCTGCTACCCAGAAATAGTGCTTCAGGTTAATAACTTTGCTTCAGGATGAGAACAGAAATCACGTGGCGGCAGCAGGAGGACCCATTAGCTAAAGTGGTGCTTCAGGTTAAGAACAGTTTCAGGTTAAGAACGGACCTCCGGAACAAATTAAGTACTTAACTCCTTCAGTACCACTGTACAGTAAATGGACAAAAGTACAAAGATTCACAAAATATTTAGGGGTATGGGTACCCCCAGAAAAAAAACACTGTTCGTAGTACAGTGGTACCTCGGGTTAAGTACTTAATTCGTTCCGGAGGTCCGTTCTTAACCTGAAACTGTTCTTAACCTGAAGCACCACTTTAGCTAATGGGTCCTCCCGCTGCCCTCGTGCCGCCAGAGCACGATTTCTGTTCTCATCCTTAAGCAAAGTTCTTAACCTGAAGGACTATTTCTGGGTTAGCAGAGTCTGTAACCTGAAGCGTATGTAACCCGAGGTACCACTGTAGTAACTGTTTCTGCACTCCCAATTGTTTAACAATAGCAACAACAAAAAGATTGTTCCCCCCCCAGAATTAGGTGGCTGAAAGGCAGAAAAAATGGGAAGTGGAGAGGGGAAGCAGGAGTGGTTTGTGTGTGAAAGGGCTGGGAGGTCATGTCTGGTTGCAAAAAACAAATTCCTGGGCTGAGCATGTGTTGTGAGACACCCTTAATTCTAAGCATGCAGAGCTCCCCTGTTCCATCGTTTTGCTTCTGTGACTGGCTAGTGGATTTAAGAGTTTTAGTAAAACAAAAACAAAAAAACAATGTAGATACGTCAAGCTTGAAATCTGTCTACTCCTGGCTGAACAGGGTTGCTGTGAGGATAATATATTAGGCCATAACAATGCACACCTCTCCAAGTTCCTTGGAAGGGCAGGATAGAATTATAACAAATAAATAAATACTCAGATTCCCTGTTTAAAGCTTTCTGCTCATTTGCGTACATTATACAGTCATACCTCTTGTTAAGTTTGCTTCAGGTTAAATCTTTTCAGGTTGCGTCCTGCAGCCACCTGGAAGTACCGGAAAGGGTTACTTTCGGCTTTCGCCACTTGCACATGCGCAGACGCTCAAAATGATGTCACGCGCATGTGCAGAAGCAGCAAATCGCGACCCACAGACGTGCGGACGTGGGTTGCATTCTGCTCATGTTGCGAATGGGGCTCTGGAACGGATCCCGTTTGCAACCAGAGGTATTTGTTGGATTTGTTTCGGCCTGAAGGAGGCAGTGTTCTCCATTTTGACAAACTGCAAGTCTACATGTTGTTAAAATGGCACAAGAACAAGCCAGGACATTTTTTCTCCTGCCCTGGGGGATAGTATACAAACCAATGGCTTCAAGTTACGAGAAAAGAGATTCTGACTGAACATCAGGAAGAACTTCCTGGCAGTAACTGTTGTTCGATAGTGGAACGGTCTCCCTCCGAAGGTGGTGGACTCGCCTTCCTTGTAGGTTTTTAAGAAGAGGTTGGATGGGCATCTGTCATGAATGCTTTAGCTGAGATTCCTGCATTGCAGAGGATTGGACTAGATCAGTGTTTCCAAACCTTGGGCCTCCAGCTGTTTTTAGACTACAACTCACATCATCCCTAGCTAGCAAGACCAGTGGTCAGGGATGATGGGAATTGTAGTTCAAAAACAGCTGGAGGCCCAAGGTTGGGAAACACTGGACTAGATGACTCTTGGGGTCCCAACTCTATGATCCTATTATACTAGTCAACTGGCAACTCTAAGGCCTCTAAATAAACCTTATTTTTCCCTTCACTCTCTCCATCCGCCTGCTTTGAACAGCTGCCCACCAAGAGAACATTGTGTGAGGCAAACAATTAGTTGTTCTGTGATTGTTACATTGAGGTTGAATAGATGTTTTATGAACAAAGGAACCAGCTTTGAAAATCCCTGTGTTACAAGGGTTCAAGGTCAAATTCAGGTTCAGAAGAACTCCTGAGGTAGGGACCCTTTCAGAATTAAAAAGCAAGGGCCGCAACATCTCAAGGAGTGGCTGTAATAATGTGTTGACGTTTATATCAACATATTTAATGAATATTGTTATAGATTTGAGGGGGGGACCCCCCTAAACCCTAGAAAACCCTGTTAGGATTTTGATTAATTGGGATACGGATGAAAGTACAAGCTGCGGAACTGTGACAGAGAAGGAATATCTGGGCCCGGCTGGCCTGGTAAAGAGGAAATCTGTTAACATGACAAAAGAAATTGATGGGCCATCCATTAGGAATCCTTTGGCCTGGGGAGACAGATGTTGCCAAGGCGATGGGATGTGTGTTTGAAGTGACAGGAAAATAGAGTTTTTAGCAGGATGTTCTGGAAAGGAGGAGGAGGAAGAAAGACTGGGATCCATCTTGGGCAGGTTGGCTGAAGGCAGGCTGGGAGAGATGCCTTTGACTCCAGGGCTGCACAACTGTCTCAAATACCAGAGTAGGACCGACAGTGAAAAGATGTGCTTTCACACTGTGCATATGCTTGCCTGGGAGCCATGGCCAAGCCTAGCATTCTATGCCTTGATCCCATTCAGGTGTTAAGCACTGTTGTTGTTGTGTACACATCAAATCTGAAGGAGTACATAGAATATAAGACCCCATGTGCACTATACATTTAAAGCCGAACCATATCACTTTGTGAAGTCATAGCTTTCCCCCAAGGAATCCTGGGAATGTAGCTGAAGGGTGCTGAAAGTTGTCAGGAGACCTCTATTTCCCGCACAGAACTACAGTTCCCTGGGAAGAGGGGTTGATAGTTAAACTACTCTTGAGAATTGTAGCTCTGTATACGTCTCAAAAATTTAATGGGTGAAATGCAGGGCCGGCCCAAGTCATTCTGGCACCTGTGGCAAACCGCAAAAGGCCACCTCCCTCCCCCACAGGGAAGAAGGGGCGAGTGAAGATCTACATTAGAAACAAAGGGAGAATAAAGTTCTACATCGGAATATGTAGCCCCTTTGTATCCTGCTGCCTGAGGCAGGATACACTTCACCTTGCCTCATGGCTGGGCCGACACAAGAAGAAGAAGAAGAAGAGTTTGGATTTGATATCCCTCCTTTCACTCCCCTTCAGGAGTCTCAAAGCGGCTAACATTCTCCTTTCCCTTCCTCCGCCACAACAAACACTCTGTGAGGTGAGCGGGGCTGAGAGACTTCAGAGAAGAGTGACTGGCCCAAAGTCACCCAGCAGCTGCATGTGGAGGAGCGGAGACGCGAACCCGGTTCACCAGATTACGAGACTACCGCTCTTAACCACTGCACCACACTGGCTCTAGGTTCTAGGACTCAGGCTTCGAATGTGTGCTCCTGTTGTGCTTACCCATAGACACCCCTGTGCTTCCAGCAACCAGAGAATTAGAGCCAGTTCTGCCCTCCCTTCCATGTGAACCCCCATATGGGTTCAGGACATTTCTTGGAGGAGATGTTTTGGAAGGGAGCCCTAGTCCTGCAATCTGATGGTTCCCATCGGAGCAAGCAGCTCCTTCTTCTCCAAATTGTACTTATCTGTCTGACTCAGAAATGTGCTGTGCTCCCTCCCTGCGAGACTCTCAAGGTCTTTGCTGAGTGAGTGGGTCACCCCCACCCCTGATATGCAGGAGTGCACCTGTGGGTGGGATGTGGGAGGGGAGACACAACTTTTCTCACAGGGGTTTGGAGAAAGCCTGGGCAGGAAACAGCAGCGAAGAGAAAAGACAACTGTGAAGGAGGAAGAAAAGACATGGGAAGGGAATACAGTGGTACCTCGGGTTACATAAGCTTCAGGTTACAGACTCCGCTAACCCAGAAATAGTACCTCGGGTTAAGAACTTTGCTTCAGGATGAGAACAGAAATCGTGCTCTGGCGGCGTGACGGCAGCAGGAGGCCCCATTAGCTAAAGTGGTGCTTCAGGTTAAGAACAGTTTCAGGCTAAGAACGGACCTCCAGAACGAATTAAGTTCTTAACCCAAGGTACCACTGTATTAGGGACGCGGGTGGCACTGTGGGTTAAACCACAGAGCCTAGGGCTTGCCGATCAGAAGGTTGCAGTTCGAATCCCCGCAACGGGGTGAGCTCCCGTTGCTCGGTCCCTGCTCCTGCCAACTTAGCAGTTCGAAATCACATCAAAGTGCAAGTAGATAAACAGGTACCGCTCTAGCGGGAAGGTAAACAGCGTTTCCGTGCGCTGCTCTGGTTCGCCAGAAGCAGCTTAGTCATGCTGGCCACATGACCTGGAAGCCGTACTTCCGGCTCCCTCGACCAATAAAGCGAGATGAGCGCCGCAACCCCAGAGTCGGTCACGACTGGACCTAATGGTCAGGGGTCCGTTTCTTCACCACTGTATTAGAGTTACACCCCTATGGTTGCAATCCTAACTTCTCCAAAAGAATCCCAGGAACTGTAGCTAGAATGCCAAGCATCCTTAACAAAGTATGTTGCCCAGATTTTTTTGTAGGGTACACAATGTGCTTTAATGCATGTGGTTAGGATTGTGCTGTTAGTTTCTATTCTAGGGTTGCCATACGTCCGGAATTTAAATGATAGAAGTAGTATTTGGGGGCAGGGGAGAGAACTGGGAAAACTGGCAAAATGTCTGAATTCCCCCCCCAAAAAAAGCTCAGCAACCTTCCCCCCAAAAAAGCTTCTTTTGTGCTCGGATTTCTCTCACTTTAATGGTCCTTACATTTGCTGCTCAGTTGCAATCCATGCCCTGCCTCCTCCTCCTCCTCTCGACTTTCTATCCCAGGCATCCCCAACTCTGCCCTCCAGTTGTTTTGGGACTACAATTCCCATCACCCCTGACCACTGGTCCTGTTAGCTAGGGATGATGGGAGTTGTAGTCCCAAAACAGCTGGAGGGCCGAGTTTGGGGGTGCCTGTTCTATCCTGTTACTCCCCACCGGCCCCAGACCCCATAAACCTCCTTACCCTTCCTCTTTCGAGGCCCGACATGGCTGATGTTAGCATTACACAAATCAGATCTGCACCTACAGGACAAAGTAACCGTTTTGGCATCCTCTGAAGATCGGGACTCACAGGCTGCAGAATCGCAGGCATCTTTTTCACTGATCCAGCAACCTGGATGGGCAGAAGACAGGGAGAAGAGGGAGTTCAGATAAACAGTTTAATCAGGGGAACATCGCATCTCCGTAACCTTGAGAGCTAGATTCCAAGCAGACCCTCTCTTTGTGTGCCAGTTTTATCTGCTTTGTTTGCATAGTTTAAATGTTACCGTATTTTGTTTTTCTGCTTTTCACGGATTTGCAAGTGCCCCAGACAGCTATAAATTTAACAGATAAACATGGAAAGGGGGAAAGACAACATTAGAAGCAGCAGCATACAAATACAGAGAACAATGAGCAGGAAAAGGGGCTTCAAATTCAGCCTGCAGGTCCTTCAGTGTCTTAAAAATATATATGCCACTATGAAATTAACACCGTAGAAAACAGGAAAGGGAACAAGAGAGAACAGTTTCTTCAAGGCTATCCCAGGAAGCCCATAATTGTGCTGGGATTTGAATTCAGGATCTGATTTCCACCGTTCCTCCCATTTCCTCCAGCCAACCCTCACTTAGTCCTTGTAGGACCTGGGGTCCTCCCCCCACATATTTTGTAGGGACTAGAATTCAAATAAATTGAATTTTTGCGTCTCAGTCCTGTATACCTGAAGGAGCGTCTCCACCCCCATCGTTCAGCCCGGACACTGAGATCCAGCGCCGAGGGCCTTCTGGCGGTTCCCTCGCTGTGAGAAGTGAGATTACAGGGAACCAGGCAGAGGGCCTTCTCGGTAGTGGCGCCCGCCCTGTGGAACGCCCTCCCTTCAGATGTGAAGGAAATAAGTAGCTATCTTATCTTTAAAAGACACCTGAAGGCAGCCCTGTTCAGGGAAGTTTTTAATATTTAACGCTGTACTGTTTTTAACACTTGATTGGGAGCTGCCCAGAGCAACTGGGGAAACTCAGCCAGATGGGCGGGGTATAAATAATAATAATTATTATTATTATTATTATTATTAACCATTGGCCCATATCCTGATTCTCACCCTGCATTTGGACATTGCATTGTGGGCATGCGTCTCTCATCTCCAAGCATCCACATTGGTTTGCCCTGAGTTAGTGCCCAGCCCACACTAAGAATCACAAGAGAAGCCCCGGACTTGAAAGAACCCATAGCAGCATTCTATGGAAACCAACAGCCCAGGGCCAAAGAGCTGGGTGCAAAGTTGTGCTCAATATCGGTCTCCCCTGAGCTACTGCTCCAACTCCTTCGGTTGTTGCCAGGGCCTTGCAGAGCCAGGTAAAAAAAGCCGCCCCGCCCCCCGCTTTTTACCCTGGGGATAACTGAAGACTTATAAATAAGTACAGTGGTGCCTCGCAAGACGAAAAGAATCCGTTCCGCGAGTCTCTTCGTCTTGCGGTTTTTTCGTCTTGCGAAGCAAGCCCATTAGCGGCTTAGCGATCAGCTGTTAAGCGGCTTAGCGGCTTAGCGGATCAGCTGTTTAGCGGCTTAGCGGATCAGCTGATAAGCGGCTTAGCGGCTTGGGAGAAAGGGGGGGGGAGGAAAAAAAACCTGCAGGAACTCGCAAGACATTTTCGTATTGCGAAGCAAGCCCATAGGAAATTCGTTTTGCGAAGCACCTCCAAAACGGAAAACCCTTTCGTCTAGCGGGTTTTCCGTCTTACGAGGCATTTGTCTTGCGGGGCACCACTGTAAGTACAATGGTACCTCGGGTTACATACGCTTCAGGTTACATACGCTTCAGGTTACACACTCCACTAAGCCAGAAATAGTGCTTCAGGTTAGGAACTTTGCTTCAGGATAAGAACAGAAATTGTGCTCCGGTGCCGCGGCGGCAGCAGGAGGCCCCATTAGTTAAAGTGGTGCTTCAGGTTAAGAACAGTTTCAGCTTAAGAACGGACCTCCGGAACAAATTAAGTACTTAACCCGAGGTACCACTGTATATAAATAATTTTCACAAAAGTTATGCTGACAAATACCGTATTTTTTGCTCTACAAGACTCACTTTTTCCCTCCTAAAAAGTAAGGGGAAATGTGTCTCCGTCTTACGGAGCGAATGCAGGCTGCGCAGCTATCACAGAAGCCAGAACAGCAAGAGGGATCGCTGCTTTCGCTGCTCAGCGATCCCTCTTGCTGTTCTGGCTTCTGGGATTCAGAATATTTTTTTTTCTTGTTTTCCTCCTCCAAAAGCTAGGTGCGTCTTATGGTCTGGTGCGTCTTATAGAGCGAAAAATACAGTAGTTTTATTTCAAGGCTTGAACCGTATCTGCATATAAAGACAAAATGGAAAATATAACTATACAATAGTGCTTTTAAAAAATACATAGAGAAAATGATTATTTTAAGTACAGTGGTGCCCCGCAAGACGAATGCCTCGCAAGACGGAAAACTCGCTAGACGAAAGGGTTTTCCGTTTTATGAGCTGCTTCGCAATACGAATTTCCCTATGGGCTTGCTTCGCAAGACGAAAACGTCTTGCAAGTTTGTTTCCTTTTTCTTAACACCGTTAATACAGTTGCGACTTGACTTCGAGCAGCAACTCATAGAACGCAGTGTACATAGTAGCCTTTTTTGAGGTTTTTAAAGACTTTGGTGATTTTTGAAGCTTTTCCAAAACTTCTTTTGCAGCCATTTGGTAAGTTAAGCTTTTAAAACTTTTTTTGGGGGGTTGGATTTTGGGTTGGGGTGTTTGGAATTCAAGGACTTGGTGTTGGGGAGGGGTTTGCAAGAATCTGGAAGCTTGTGTGGTTTTTTTCTGCATTTTTATGATTTTCTGTGACCATTGGGCCACTCTGCTGTTTTTTTAAAAAAAATTCTGGGTTTGAATTTTGAAATGCTCTTTACAGTATGTGTGACTTTAAAGAGCACTTAATAAACTCTTGTTGTACCAAATTTGGCTTTGTTTGGACTTTTTTTGACCATAGGAACGCATTAATTGATTTTCAATCCATTCCTATGGGAATTCGTGATTCGCAAGACGAAAAATTCGCTAGACGAAAAAACTCGCGGAACGAATTAATTTCGTCTTGCGAGGCACCACTGTATTTACATTTTAAAATGCTTTCCTAGCTTTCTTTTCTGCAAATTCTTGAATTACGCAGGAAAAATCAAGCAACTTCGCCTTGAATATGCTGACCGAGGCCCTCTTTGGAATCGGAGGCCCAGGCCAAGTGGCCCATATGGCCCCCCCCCTCTGTCTGGGCCTGGTTGCTGCTGGCCCACAGCCTGCAAAATCTGCCTGTACTTTTAAAATGTGTTGGGGAGGAGGGGGGATAACTGGGTGGTTCTTGTTCTTGTTCTTATTATGCATTTTGTGTTTTAATCCTGTGATTTTATCTCATGAACTGCCCTAGATCTGTGGGTATAGGATGGTATACAAATTCAATCAATCAATCAATCAATCAATCAATCAATCAATTATAGCAATAGTAATAATACTTTCACTACTGCCTGCCCCCAATGGATGCTAACAAATAACAAAACTAAAAAAAAGCTCAGCAACTTTGGTGCCCCCTAAAAAGAACAAAAATCCTGGCTACACCCATGTTCCTCACTGGCCCTGTTTTGCATTCTGTATATTTTTGCTTGGCTGGAAAGTGCCCTTGAACTCCGATAGTGCTTTTTGCTTCTCTGGATGGAGGAAGAGAAGAGAGACAGAGAGTAGTACAGTGGTACCTCGGGTTAAGAACTTAATTCGTTCGGGAGGTCCGTTCTTAACCTGAAACTGTTCTTAACCTGAAGTACCACTTTTGCTAATGGGGTCTACAGCTGCCGCCGCACGATTTCTGTTCTCATCCTGAAGCAATGTTCTTAACCCAAGGTACTATTTCTGGGTTAGCGGAGTCTGTAACCTGAAGCGTCTGTAACCTGAAGTGTCTGTAACCCGAGGTACCACTACAGTAGTCTACTGAAAAAAGATATAGAGTGGTACCTCGGTTTAAGAACAGTCCAGTTTAAGAATAATTTGGTTTACAAACTCCGCAACTGGAAATAGTGTTCCGGTTTGAGAACTTTACCTCAGTCTAAGAACAGAATCCGAACAGTGTAAGGGCACCGGCGGCAGGAGGCCTTATTAGGGAAAGTGCACCTCAGTTTAAGAACGGACTTCCAGAATGGATTAAGTTGGTAAACCGAGGTACCACTGTAATTCGCACCTAGTGCTTTGCCCACCGATTGCCTCTGGCCCCACTCACTATTGGCATGTGGCCCTTAGAAGGCTGCTTAGCAAGAAATGTGGCCCTCAGTTACCCAGCCCTGATGCAAGGTTTTCCTTCAGGCCTGCTCTCCCTCACCTGCCATCAGCTTTAGGGAGATGGCCCACTTTCCTTGCAGCGGCTCTCAACCTGTGGGTCCCCAGATGTTGTTGGACTACAACCCCCATCATCCCTAGCTAGCAAGGCCAGAGCTCAGGGATGATGGGAGTTGTAGTCCAACAACATCTGGGGACTGCTGCGAGTCACATGCTCTCCCTAACACCCTTGGGAAGCCTGGGGTTGTGGTTGTTTTTTTTTGCAGAGTTGAGATAGAGAACATCACAGCCTAACTAGCTGAGGAGTGAAAGTGGGTAGAATTCTGTGGTGAGGAAGGGAACGCCACTGGTGAGCTCTCACTCTGAGCCACAGGTAGTTGCACGTGTGGCAACGAAAAGGTTCCTCTCCCGGCCGAACTGGCAGGAGGAAAGGTGGGAGTTGCTGCTTTTTTGGTACATGCTCGCGCAAGGTGCACCCTGACCTCATCTTCCTCGTCTCTCCCCATAGCAACCGCCAGCTCCTCAGCCCTCTTTGGAAGGGAGGGAAGAAGGGTCAGCGTGTGTGAGAACGCTGGCCGGGAGCTTTCTCTTCGTCTTTTAAAACTTCGTTTTTATCTTTTCAAACAGCTACAATGAGGGACTAAAGGCTTGCAGTGATACATTTCATAAGCTGGGGTCTGATATATCTTGGCTGGGAGCGATTTCTAAGGCAAACACCCCCCAGCTATCTGTTCTCCACTAGTTTTTTTTTCTTCTCTCATATTCTGAGGAAGGAAGGAAGTGTGGCATAGTGGTTAAAGTGCTGGACTACAGCAGAGGAGAACCCAACTTCAAATTCTCACTCAGCCCTGAAGCTCAGTGGGTAACCGTCAGCCAGTCACTGTCTCTTAGCCCATAACAGGGTTGTTGTTGCCCATAAAACGGGGTAGCTGAAGAAAAATGATGTTCTTGGAAAATAATGGGATGGAAATTGCAATAAATAAATAAATGAGGGCTCCAAGTGATCATTGGGCAGATCCACACCACACTTATAAGGCTTCATTCAAAGCACGTGACTTCCCACAAATAATTGTGAGAACTATAGTTTTCCCTCCCCCTCCCCAGCACCCTTCACAAACTATGGTTCACAGGATGTTTTGGGGAAAGACACATGCTTTAAATGTGTGTTGAATGTGCATTAAATGTGTGGTGAAGTGCAACTCTTTCTGAGCATACCGTGGTTCAAGCGCAGTTTGTTTCGGGAAGCCTAGGTACCAAAATCATCACACAATGTAAAACTGAATACGCAGGAAATGTTTGGCATGCTTGTAAGGTAAAGGGACCCCTGACCATTAGGTCCAGTCATGACCAACTCTGGGGTTACTGTGCTCATCTCGCTTTATTGGCTGAGGAAGCCGGCATACAGCTTCCGGGTCATGTGGCCAGCAAGACTAAGCCGCTTCTGGCGAACCAGAGCAGTGCACGGAAACGCCGTTTACCTTCCCGCCGGAGCGGTACCTATTTATCTACTTGCACTTTGACCTGCTTTCGAACTGCTAGGTTGGCAGGAGCTGGGACCGAGCAACGGGAGCTCACCCCATTGCAGGGATTCGAACCCCCGACCTTCTGATTGGCAAGCCCTAGGCTCTGTGGTTTAACCCACAGCGCCATCCACGTCCCTGTTCGTGGAAGCCTAGGTACCAAAATCACCACACAATGTAAAACTGAATACGCAGGAAACGTTTGGCATGCTTGTAACCTGCCATATATCAGGGTGGGTGAGTCCAGGCAAGCATGTATACAAATTGAAAAATACTTTTCACATTTTTAGTTAATCTGAAGGCTCTGCCTTAGTCCCTCAGCTGTGTTCAGTTGCACCGACAAGCCGTTATGTGACAGTACTCATTCCTACACTGGATGCTTTCGCTGAGATTCCTGCTTTGCAGGGGGTTGGACTAGATGATCCATGGGATCCCTTCCAACTCTACAGTTCTATGATTTCATATCTTCTCACTTATTATCAAGCAGAGCACTTCGACCGGGTGGTGGTGGAAGCAATTCACTCATTCAGCCGCAAATCATCCAGCGATGAGACATCGGATAGTGAATGTGCTTGCAAATCAGCTAGTAGAATCTACTACGTACACACAGAAGCAGGCTGCAAACACACCATACATTTGAAGTGCATTCCCCGACCCAAGACACCTGGAAATTGTAGTTTACCCCCCCCCCAAGCTACAGTTCCCAGCACCCAGCCACAGAGCTATGGTGCAGAGCTGTTCCTCCACTAGCCCCTCAACCCCTTCTCCAACAAATCAACCTGGGAAATCCATCAAATCCCGGAAGCAGAAGGCAGCACACCGCTCTGAATTCACTATAAAACCTCTCAGATCTTTTGCACTACACTCCATGCTGCTAGGGACGCGGGTGGCGCTGTGGGTTAAAGCCTCAGCGCCTAGGACTTGCCGATCGAAAGGTCGCCGGTTCGAATCCCCGCGGCGGGGTGCGCTCCCGTTGCTCGGTCCCAGCGCCTGCCAACCTAGCAGTTCGAAAGCACCCCCAGGTGCAAGTAGATAAATAGGGACCGCTTACCAGCGGGAAGGTAAATGGCGTTTCCGTGTGCTGCGCTGGCTCGCCAGAGCAGCGATGTCACGCTGGCCACGTGACCCAGAAGTGTCTCCGGACAGTGCTGGCCCCCGGCCTATAGAGTGAGATGAGCGCACAACCCTAGAGTCTGTCAAGACTGGCCCGTACGGGCAGGGGTACCTTTGCCTTTACCATGCTGCAAGGACTCACTTTTGATGAATCCCCGTGCCTTTTAATTTGGCAGAAATCAACAGCAGCGAGTAGCGGCTGCTGCTCCGTTTCTCCCTTTCTCATGGTGCTAATTTCCCAGGCTTCATTTCCACCCCAGTGCCAATATATTTCTGCTTGAACATTCAGTCTTGCATAGTAGTTTTTAAGGGATGGCAGGGAAGAGATCCTGCATTAGGGACACTCAGGTATACTTGATGACCCCTTGATCTCTCTCTTGCAGGCTTATGGATCTAGAGATGAAATGCATGCATCGCTGGGCAAGACTGTAGCTCAATGATAAGAGCATATGCTTTTCTTGCAGAAGGTCCTGGGTTCAGTTTCCAGGATTTCCAGGTAAGACTGGGAGAGAACCGTGTCTGAAATCATGGAGAGCTTCTGCCAGGCAGTATAGACAATACTGAACCAAATGGACCCATAATCGGACATGGCATAAAGAAAACCCCTTTGTTCTAAGCTTGTAGAGTCCCCACCATCTCATTCCCACACCACGCAGCAGAGTCCTTGTCTATGTGCTCTAAAATCCCACCTCCCTTTGGATCCGAAATCACGTGAGCTTTGGGCTTTCCGTCTTCCTGCCAAACCACCGCATCCAAACCTGCCTCCTTTACCACCCAACCCCCTAAGGAAGAATTGTAGCAGCTCCTCCGTCCGCCTTTGGTCCTCACCTTGCAACTTGGCTTGGAGATGTCCTTGGGTCAGGTTCCAGATACCAAAGCAGCACTGGTTGTGAGGGCACTGGATGGTTCTGTTGTGGCCGTCCTCCGAAATTAAGCCCTTGAGATGCTCCATGCCTTCCATCAGGGCATTAGATCCATAGGAGACGCAGCTGCGGTTTTTACTCAGGGCACTGGTGCTCATCGCTTGGCATCTCAGCAGTATTAGCCAGGCAGTCAGTCTCCAAAGCAGCCTGCAGGGCCCCATCTACCCTCCAAGAGCACCTGAACTGGATATGCAAACCTAGCTTGCCCGCCTAGGAGTTCCTCCTCCGGGCCCAGGTGGGAAGGACTTGGCTGGCTTCAGCGTGTGGGATGGGGCTGGTTGCTGTCAGCGAGTGACCGCAAGCACTGAAGCAGGCGAGGGAGGCAGCACATCTAGGCAAGGAGGGACAAGACAGATTTCCAGTGGGTCTGCCTTCATGCCTAAGCAGATTGGGTATAACAGCTTCCAATGCCACCATACAAAAACACCTCCCACGAGAGAGCAAAACAACTCCCTGCAAATTCAAGGAGGGAGATCTTAGATACCCTAGCCTGGGGTGCCCCCCTAGGCAGCTCAAGGACAGAGTTTCAGATTTAAAGAATATTGTTATGGGAGGGGGGGAGGGGGAGAGACAAGGAGGTTTTCAGTGGGTGGAACAAGATTCTCAGCAATATTCATTCAAGGTCCACTCAAATGGGTATGTTCAACATCAAATTGAATATGTGCAAAAGCACTCAGCACTGCATGTTAAGATATTGTTGGGGTCATTTTTGTGCTTTGTTAAAAAAACAAAGAAATGAGATCACATCAACACCCTCCTCCCCCACTCCAAGGAAAGGGATCTGTGCTATAGGCATTAATATATAGTGTGGGTAGGTGGACAGAGGTGGTTAATTGGCAGAATTGTGTACTTACATCCCATTGAATTTCCAAGAGGTCAAAAACTTTAAAAAAGAATGGGGGGAAATTATATTTTATTTAAAGAGACCACTGCAAGCAGATGAAAACATTAACAGGATTTTAATCTCACTTGTAATGTAGCAAAATTATGGACAATATGGATTGATATAAAATATAGACTATGGAATAAAATGCATTTGTAAATGTTGACAATAAGACCCATGAAGGGGATTGGGGGGGGGGAGTCCCAAGATTTGGAGTAATCTCTGTATATGGATATGCATTTGGATTGTTATAAAATTCTATTTGTAAAATCAAATAAAAATGATTTTTTAAAAAAGGATTTCCTTTGGGGGGGTGGACGTATCAGCATCCTTGAGGCCTTCCTTCCAGATGTTCAGGAGAGGTTTTACTTTTCATTTGCGATGGTATGACAGCGCTAGGACAGAGCGCATGTTTTGCATCCAAAGTTCAATCCTCAGCATCTGGAGTTCAAGGATCTCAGGCAGTGAATCAGGAAAAGATCTTGAGAACTTATGAGAACTGCTATCTGTTGGAGCAGATCATATTGAGCTTGTAAGGGGTTGAATCAACAGTCCGACTCAGCAAATCACAGCTCCATACGATCACAACACAACCCACTTGTAAAAACCCAAAAGTGGTCTAAACTTTTGTGGGCTAAGGCACCCGGGGGGCAGTGGGGTGGGGGACTCACATGGGGCCCAGTAGATGGAAGCTTACATCTCATGCAAAGTGTCTTGCCCTCTATGTCACCACCCCTGGGCTGGCTGCAGGCTGCTGTTTTGTTCAGAAGAGCATACTGGTGTCTCCACTAAATATCGAGCAGATGAAATGATAAAAGCTTCCATTTTGATGGCATAGATTAACAAACATTTTGCCAACTTTCTCACCTGGGGCAGAGCAATTAGAATATGCAAAAGCTCCTCAGCCTTCCGCTTGAATATAGCTCAGTTGGTAGAGCATGAGATTCTTAATCTCTGGGCTGTGGGTTTGAGCCCATTGGGCAAAATATTTCTGAATTTTGGGGGGTTGGACAAGATGAACCCTTCCATGGTCCCTTCCAACTCTACCGTTCTTATGATTCTATATTTAACTACCACCGGTACATGTGAGCAGCACTGGCAGTACTTGGTTCCATACGGTAAACAGTTCTGCTGGTGGCGTTGAGACTGCCAGCGCCACCGCCAGGAGTGCGGTTGACAACTTCAGCCTTGTTTTCAACAACCAGGCTGATAAAGGGCTCTCTCTGTAGACATAGCAAAGTCCACTTCCTGGTTGCCTCTTATCTGCTCAGAAACAAGAGATGTCAAGTAGGTGCATTAGCAGTACAGCAGATATAGGCTAGACTCTCCCCCTTCCAATCTTCATAGTCCATGACTGTGCTGTAAATTTCAAGCAGGAGTGCAGACTCAAGATCTTTGGTCACAGATCATCTATGCTTTAGCTCTTAAGTGACCCTGCCTGGGCATTCTTGCTTAAAAGCATTAGCACCATGCTCATGCATACGAAAACATCTCACATTTTATTATTATTCTTATTATTACTACCCAGCCCATCTGGCTGGGTTTCCCCAGCCATTCTGGGCAGCTCCCAACAGAACACTAAAAACAGAATAAAACTTCAAACATTAAAAACTTTCCTAAACAGGGCTGCCTTCAGGTGTCATCTAAAACTCAGATACAGTAGTACCTTGGGTTAAGAACTTAATTTGTTCCGGAGGTCCGTTCTTAACCTGAAACTGTTCTTAACCTGAAGCACCACTTTAGCTAATGGGGCCTCCTGCTGCTGCCGTGCCGCTGAAGCACGATTTCTGTTCTCATCCTGAAGCAAAGTTCTTAACCCGAGGTACTACTTCTGGGTTAGCGGAGTCTGTAACCTGAAGCGCCTGTAACTCGAGGTACCACTGTAGTTGTTTATTTCCTTGACATCTGATGGGAGGGCATTCCACAGGGCAGGTGCCACTGCCAAGAAGGCCCTCTGCCTGGTTCTCTGTAATCTCACTTCTCGCAGTGAGGGAACTGACAGAAAGCCCTTGGAGCTGGACCTCAGTGTTCAGGCAGAAACAATGGGGATGGAGACGCTCCTTCAGGTATCCTGGGCCGAAGCCGTTTAGGGCTTTAAAGGTCAGCACCAACACTTTGAATTGTGCTTGGAAACGTACTAGGAGCTAATGTAGGTCTTTAAGGACCGATGTAATATAGTCTCAGTGACCACTCCAAGTCATAAGTCTGGCCGCCGCATTGACGCTCAAATATTCAAACACGTTTTTGGGAACTAACGGCTTTTAATGGAACGGCTAAGTGCCTTGTTTTTATTGTAATTATTTATATAGTTTTATTAGTTTTTTGTGTATGTGTGTGTGGTTTTAATTCTATCAATGTTTAATTGTTCTTTAATGATCCCCCCATATTTTTAGCTGTTCTTATTTTTATCTGTAAGCTGCCTTGTGTCCCTGTCAGGGAAAAAAGGTGAGGTATAATAAGGGTTGTCATATTTTAAGAATTGAAAATCCAGACACAAAAGTTGTTAAGCTTTTTAAAATAATAATAATAATAATAATAATAATAATAATAATAATAAAATAAAATAAAATGCTGCCCTTTTCAGTTAACAAGAATGCAGAGAAGCAAGCCACAAAAGGTTTGTGCTGAGTGTCCACAGATATGGATACACTGTTGAATGCAGAAGGCCAGGCTGCAAGCAATGGTCGGAAGTGATTTACGTCAACTTTGTTTTGCAAGAAGGTCACAATCCGCCCACTCTCCCCCTGGATTTTCACTAGTCCTTTTAACACTACATGGGTCTTGCAGGAGGAACGTCAAAGGGCAAGGATGGAGCTAAAAGGATAGAGTCCTGCTGTCAACATGAATCGTGACTTAACATGTGAGGACCAGAAAACCAGGGCTAAAGAAGCCTGAGAAAAAGGTTAGAAACCAGAGTTATTCAAGGCGGAAAGTTTGGGGGCGAAGCACGCACACCACAAAATATTAAAGGAAGGCACATGTTTATGTTTGTGTGTGTGCAATATATACTGCTCGTGTGGCTAGGCAGATTAAAAACAAACTCTGTAAATACTTGTTTTATTCCTTTCATTTAAAAAAAATTGTAATCAGTATACAAAGGAGCCAAACTACTTTAATCTTTGTACAAAAATAGCACTTTTAAAAAGTGTTTCAGACATCATTACATCGGGAATTGGATTTTTTTTTAAAAAAGAAGCACATACATTATTACAAGATAAAACAAACAGTCTTTTACACAGCTAGACAAGAATTATTTTATTGCCAGTGTTACAGGTTGGCTTTAAGTGTCTGCAGAACTGTGCTGTTAAGCACCAAAGACGACTTAGATCGCTACCCACCTTCCCCCTTCCTGGGAGAGGTGACAGAGGCAGCCAGGTTACTGCGGAAGAGGATTACAAAGCCACTGAACATAATGAAAAACGTTTATGAAACGTTAGCGGAACCTGGGAATGGCAACTGGGCAGAAACTCTCATTCCCCTCCACAACCGCCCCTTTCCATTGCAGAGCATGCAAAAAGTCAGCGCTCTCATCCTTTCACCTTTGGACCGGGGTGGGGGAATAAGTTAACTGCTGAACTCCAGCTGCCCATTTAGACTGGACTGTGACAAGATTAAAGCTAGACAAAGCTGTTCGAAGGCACAGAATGCGACAGAGGAGCCACTGAAGGCTGATGGCACTGGCTTGGCTATATAGAACCCTTGTATATAAAGGAAAAGGCACGTCTGATTCCAGAAAGAACATTGTAAGTTATTTTAAGAAAATATAAAATAATAATAATATACAGTCGTCCCCCCTCTCCTTTCGCTTTGCACGTTTCGGATTTTGGGCCACTTTACACAAATCAGAGGAATCAAATAGTAAAGCTTTTCCTAGATCCACTTTGCAGTTGCATCTCTGAATGATTCTCCACAAATAAAGCCACCCAAATCTAAAGTTTATTTAAAGTAACAAACAAAAAGCCACAAATGCCCCCAAACCCCAGCATGTCAGGTGTGGATTCCTCTCCTGGACATGCTAATTTCCTAAAGACGTGGATCTTCCTCCGCCCTCAATTGGGGGAGCAATCAATAAGGCAATTCTCCAACACACATACCCCAAACTCCATTGGCAGCCTGAAGAGGTAGCCCAGGAAAAAAAACCCAAACACTTGTGACTTGTTTCGAGTCTTTTGTTTTCAGTGCGTGCACAGCAAAGGATGCTTCTATCTCAAGTATTCCATCAGGCAATGTGTGTATGGGCTCAAGCAGTGACAAGCCATGAGAGACCCTCACAACCGGCACAGACAGGCAAGAGTCACGGTGCCATTCTGGCACTAGCCATGAAGCAGACACATGTGCCAATTTGGACTGGCGTTCTCCAGCCTTGAGGCCCCTAGATGATGTGTGGACTGCAACTTCCATCATCCCTGAGCGTCGGGCTACGCTTGTCTGGGGATGGTGGGGAGTTACAGTCTAATATCGTACTGAGGACCCCAAGGCTGAAGAACACTGGTGCAGACGAATCCCTTTTTGAAAC